TCAGCTGCAGTTTAGCCAGGCACACCAAAACCACTCTGTGCATAGCCTTTAACACAGAGGGAATTAATGCAGGGACTGATTACATCCTGATGGAAGAAACTCCCCGAGAGGTCACCTAGGACACTGTGTTAGCCCAGCCCAGCCACAGGAAGCTGTTAGCATCTCCAGAGTCGAGAGACAGCGGATGGAGCCTGCATGACAAGAGCCCAGGGTGGTGACACACAGGAGGCTGGAACCACAGGTGGGTCTCCTTGAATGGAACAGGGGCCACTGTCAGAAATTTCGAAGCAAAGAGGGAGGACAAGGAAGACCCAGCTTCTCAGCCCATCTACCCATCAGCCTTGTTAGTGCCCCAAGTGGCCTCCCCACAGGAAACCAGTTCCTAAGGGAACCTGGGAAATGGAGCAGGCTGGAGTCAGCCTTTCTGGGACACAGAAGTCAGCTGGAAAGGGGGAGGATTTAGTCTGGGTGCCCACATATCAGCCCAAGTGGGTGACAGCAAGAGGGGAAGCTGCCCTGGGGTGGGTGAAGATGTGTCCATTTCTGAACACAGGAAGTCTGAGATGCTTGTGGGATGTCTGTTCAGCAGGGGAGTTGTTCCGCAGTTATTGCGGTTACAGAGGTCAGTTACTTGGACCCCTGATTCCGAAGATGGGAGTGGGAAAGGAAGGCCTGCATATGCAGACTCAGGTTGACCAGCCTTCAGGTGGTAGTGACAGTAGTTCTAGCAATGAATGTGTTCATAGGGTAGTAAAAGCATGGTTTTGGCTCGTTTTGGTTTTTTTGAAACAAGGTCTCTTTCTTTCATCCAGGCAGGAAAGCAGTGATACAGTCATGGCTCACCGCAGCCTCGACTTTCCAGGCTCAAGTGATCCTCCCATCTCAGCCTCCTGACTAGCTGGGACTAAAGCCATGCACGACCACTCCATAAATATTAGTAATTTTTTATGAAGATGGAGTATTACTGTGTTGCCCAGGCTGGTCTCCAGCTCCTGAGCGCAAGCGATCCTCCTGCCTTGGTCTCACAAAGTGCTGGGATTAGGACTGGGCGCGGTGGCTCACGTCTGTATTCCTAGCACTTTGGGAGGCCAAGGTGGGTGGATCACCTGAGGTCAGGAGTTCAAGACCAGCCTGGCCATCATGGTGAAACCCCATCTTTAAAAATAAATAAATAAATAAAATAAAATTGAAAAAGTGCTGGGATTATGGGCATGAGCCAGTATGCCTGGCCTGTTTGTGTTTTTTGAGATGGAGCTTCCCTCTTGTTGTCCAGGCTGGAGTGTGATGATGTGATCTCAGCTAACCACAACCTCTGCCTCCCAGGTTCAAGTGATTCCCCTGCCTTAGCCTCTGGAATAGCTGGAACTACATGCGCCCGCCACCACACCTGGCTAATTTTTTGTATATTTAGTAGAGACAGGGTTTCTCCATGTTGGTCAGGCTGGTCTCGAGTCCCTGACCTCAGGTGATCTGCCTGCCTCGGCCTCCCAAAGTGCTGGGATTATAGGCGTGAGCCAGCACACCTGGCCTGTTTTTTCTTAAATGTAAAAAAAAAAAAATTGAACTATTTTCCAAATGGTTGAGTCATGTTATACTCCCAGCAGCTGTTTGAGAGCTCTAGTTGCCCTCATCTGTCCATCATTTAGTCTTTCTAACTATTTTAGCAAGTGTGAAATACACCTTATTGTGGTTTTAATTTGCATTTCTCTGGTGGCCTGTGAGGTTGAACAGCTCAGGAAAAGCTTTTACGTGGGCCCTTGTGAACATATTGTGAGGACGATCTCCTCTGAAGCCTTCTGGGAGAGAATTAGAGTGGAGTAAAATGAGAGGGTGGGGGCCAGTCTCCTTCTAGCCTCCAGGTCTCAGGCACCTTCTCATACTATGTGGGCTTTCCAGCAGTTCCTTCATCACACCTTTTTTTTTTTTTTAATTTTATCATGCATGTTGTAGGGAAGATGTTAATTGCCCTTTTTTTTTCTTTAAGCTGGGATTTCACTGTATTGACCAGACTGGTTTCGAACTTATGAGCTTAGGCAATCCACCTGCCTTGGCCTCCCAAAGTGCTGGGAATTACAAGCGTGAGCCACTGCGCCCGGTCTCCTTCATCGTATCTCAAGAATCGTGGGCTTGGCACAGTGGCTCATGCCTGTAATCCCAGCACTTTGGGAGGCTGAGGCAGGCAGATCACCTGAGGTGGGGAGTTGAAGACCAGGCTGGCCAACATGGTGAAACTCCATCTCTACTAAAAATACAAAAAAATTATCTGGGCATGGTAGTGGATGCCTGTAATCCCAGCTACTCGAGAGGCTGAGGCAGGAGAATTGCTTGAACCCAGGAGGCGGAGGTTACTGTGAGCCAAGATCACACCACTGAATTTCAGTCTGAGTGACAGAGTAGGACTCCATTAAAAAAAAAAAAAAAAAAAAATTTGGGAGCCTGGGCAACATAGTGAGACCGTGCCTCTACAAAAAAAAAAAAAAAAAAAAATTTAGTCAATGTAGTGGTGGGTGCCCTTAGTCCCAGCTACTCAGTAGGCTGAGGTGGGAGGATTCTTTGAACCCAGGAAGTTGTGACTGCAGTGAGCTATGACTGTGCCACTGCACTTCAGCCTGGGTAACAGTGAGACCCTGTCTCTAAATAAATAAATAAAAAAGAATTGTGGGGTTATCTCTGAGTTTCAAGATGTGAACTTACAGCCTGAAAGGTGTGGGGTTCAAAGCCTTATTTTACTACTTGCATGCTGGAACGTGCACAGTTTTCTCAGCCGTAGAATGGGAACAACATCTATTCGTGGGGTTGCTATAAGAATTAAGTCATGTTGGTAAAGGGAACAGCTTACTATCTGGCACTTCATATGAGCTCAGCAATCGTAGCAAGTATTATCGGTTTTGTTACTGGAAGGATTAAAGAGGTGCTACAGATCGTCCTTTTTCCCCCAGATGAGGAAATTGAGGCCTGGAAAAATTAAAAGAAGTATCCAATGCAACTGGCTGATTAGGGCACAGATGATCCGCCCGCCTCGGCCTCCCACAGTGCTGGGATTACAGGCATGAGCCACCACGCCCAGCCCAAGGATTCTTACAGATAGGGCATTCTCTATTAGACCAAGATGGTTTTCTTCTTGTTTGCTTTTCTCAAAAAACACCAGCAACCAAGTAATAAATACAAGGTGAATTTTGTTTTATCTAGTCTCTTCCCGTCTCCAGTCCCTGCTTTAGGATCCATGGGGAGGGGATGGAGATTCACTTTGGGTTGTTTATTTATGACCTCACTCTATTCATCATTCCTACTTAATGTTGAAAAAGACACGACTGTGTGTGCAAAGTTCTGCCTTTTGGATAGTTTATGCTCATCCAGTGCTTTTCTGAGTTTCTAAGGTCAGGGCAGGAACCAACACTCTCTCCACCCTTCCAGGGGAATGGAGAGGAAACCAGCGAAGTTGCCTCGGGTCAAAAGGATTTTTAAAAATACCGCAAAAGCAATAGTGCTCACAAATACTCAGCTAAAACCTTCGCATAGCTGTCAGAGGACAAAGCTTTCGGAGGGAGTGGGTGCAGCTAGGGATTGAGCAGCTCCGGCAATCCTCCGGCCCGCGGCCCCGCACGCGCATCATCTGGGCCTAAAAAGATCAAATCCAACACTCTCGTGTCCCTACAACTCAAAGAACCATTTCCTCGGCAGCCCCAGATCCCACCCTCCCCAAACTGCAGGTGCTCCCCGTGTGGGCCTGAGGGATGGCCTCAGAGCCCCGGAGATTAAGGCCCAGCGCCCACGCGTCCGTTTCTCCGCAGCCACGGGACGGCCAAGCGGCAAGTGGAAGCCCAGCCTTCTCCCCGCCCGGGAGACTGGGCAGGGGAGCTGCTGCGGGGACGGACAGAGCCTCCGGAGCCCCAGTTCTGGGGCGCCTCACGCGCCACCATCACATCTGGCGTGTCCATAACAGCTCCAGGTGCGCTTCGCCGACCCGGAAGTAGCGGCGCCACAAGCGCGCTACGGAGACGTCACCAGTACGCGGCACAGGAGGCGTGAGCGCTTTTGGCTTTGCGCACTTGCGTCATCACGTGGCTGGCGGAGTCCCGTGATGGGGAGGTGACGTAAGCGTCACGGAGGCGGCGGCGGGCGGGGACAGGGAGTGAGCCGACTAGCCCTGCCTCTTAAAGCCTCCCGACCCTTTCGTGTTGTCGCAGCGCGTCCGCCGGGTGTGGCGCCTTTAAGCGTCGCCGTGACACGTGTGTGAGGCGTCGGAGGCCCGGATGATGCGCGTGCAGGGCCCCGGGCCGGAGGAGACGCCAGGGCTGTGCGGGTTTGTGGTGCGCGGTGAGGAGAGACCGGGGTAGGCTGAAGCCGGAGTGGGCTGGGGTCGGGTCCGGGCGGCGCGCAGGCCGGGGGACGAGGCGGGGCAGGTGGCTTCCGCGATGGCCTGGGGCATGGGAAGGGCCGGCGGGGCGCAGCCGGGGCGCTCGGGGAGGACGTGGGCGCGCGTCCGCGCAGGGCACTGGCCGTCCCCGAAGAGGGCCCGGGATACGCCTCCCGCTCCGAGCTCGGGGTCTCCCCAAGGAGGATCCGGGGCCGGGCTGTCCTCGCCGCTCTCCGCGGTGCCCTGGCCCGGCGATGGGGGCCGCAGGTGCCCGCGTTCTCCGCCGGATCCAGGCCGACTCCGGAGAGGCTGAGGTCGGAATCAGGGCCAGGGCGTCCCGTGCGGCCGCAGAGCCCAGCGGGGCTGGCGCGCTCCCGGGGCGGGCGCCTTTCTCGTGGCTGTGGAGAAGGCCGCGGAGCTTGGGGTGGGGTGCGGTTCCGACGCCGCTGTTCCTGGCGGGTGGCGTGGGCGTCCTGGGCCTGGGGCTGCAGTGGCCGATGCTAAACCCAGATCCACTAGAGGGGAGACTCCCCGCGCCCTGATTTACGTAACGCTCGCCATGGAGCCAGGCTCGGGGAGAGGCGCTCAGGTCGCTGTTTCCGCGGCCGGGCCCCGGGACAGGCGCTGTGGAGTCGCGGGGGAGGTCCCTGGAGCGCAGCGCTGGAGAAGGCTCTGTTTCCGTGGGCTCCTCCCCTCAGCACGTGGTTTTGACCCTGCGAGCCTCCATTGCAGTTCATCCTGGAAAAGTGACTTTAGAAGGAGGAGGGAGAGGGAGTTAGCTTAAATTGTGCCGACTAGGGTTCGCTCAGGTGGATATGTGGATGAGGCCTGTGCTGTGCCTGGACCAGAGGGAGCATCCTCCCTGAGTTGGGAAGAGTGTTGATGGTGTGTGCATCAGAGGGCTTTGCTAGTGATGACAGGAACACTTGTCTCGGGCTCCTACACCTCAGAGAGCGAGCTTATTTAGGTTATTGCCTAATGTTTTAGGTGGAATTGGTGAAGTAGAGGTTGACCTGTCACACTTGAAAAATTGTGTTTAAAATCTCTGCATCTACACTAAGGAGTGGGTGGTTTAAAGTTACTTATTTCGACTGAAATTGGGTTACATCCCAAGTGTTGTTTATCCCTTCCCTAATTGGTTCTCAAACGTTGGTAGTGGTGCATGACAAAGTTCTCACCTTCCAGGGTGGATGACAGTCCTCACACAAGCAGTGATACTGTTGGGAGTTTTTCCATACCACTAGGTGTCTTCACTTTATAGATTGTCCTTTATTCTGAGGTCATTTCCTTACACATTTTTGGGGAGTTGGTATGCTTTTATTTATGGATGAAATCATAGTTCTGAGATTTGCTGCAGAATTACTTGGGGATGGGAGGTGACTCAGGTTGGGTCAGACATAATTACTGAGGCAGAGTAAGGGGGCTCATGTGCTCACTGTGCTGTTCTGCGTTTGTGTGTTTGAATGTTTTCACTACAAATTGTTTTTATGGACCTTAATCTTATGTAATCATAGTGATGGTAATGAAAGAGAAATGATCCATCGGCGATTACCATAATGAAAGAGAAAATCCACACTTAGCAAAGCAAGATTTTGGCAACTCCTGTTACTCACTCAGGTTTTTTTGTTGTTGTTGTTGAAGTTTTACTGGTTCATTAAATACAAAACTTTGGCATTTATTACCTCTTACTTTTTGTGAGATTAGACTGGTGTTGACTGGCAGGTGTGGGGACGTTTTCATTGTCTGGGCTTTTCTGGTATCAGGGTTAAGATGCAGTGTGGCGGTGTTGTTCATATTGTGTGCATTGCAACAACTGGTGATGAGGTAGCATGATCCTCCCGCCTCATCCTGAGTGCACGTGTGGATGCTCCTTGAGCTTTAAGGACAGCTATTTCTGGGTAGAGGGTTGCTGATGCCACGTGGCATCCTGGGAAAGTAGCTAAAGAGATGGCACAGGAAGAGAGTTGGCCTCCACTGATGGTCATCCTGTCCCTCCCACAGGCTGTGAGCCCGCTCTGTGACTTTGGTGATTTAACAGGCCAGAGCCCAGGAGCACTTATATTCAGGAGCCCTGCATAGTACCTGCCGAGCCAAACTCAGTCTCATCCCGAACCTCCCTGCCACCCAAGATCCTGGTTCCGTGCTGCAGGCCAGCAGGCCAGAGTCTGTACATCCCAGGGCAGTCTGCAAGGCGTCTGTGTATTTTTTGATTCCACTGCATTGCCTGCACCTGACCCAGCAGTGATTGTTCAGTTGGTGAGAAGTCTTAGATAATTCTCATTAGAAAAGGCTCTTTTATTTTCTCAAATCAGACAACTTCTAATGCTTTTTTTTAAAATAAGCTTTTTCTTTACAGAAACTTTTTTCCACCCCCACATTATTCTTACAGGCCTAATTTTTTTTTAAAGATGAGGTCTCACTATGTTCCCCAGGCTGGACTGCACTGGCTGTTTGCAGGCATAATCGTAGCTCGCTGCAGCCTCCAACTCCTGGCCTCAAGTTGTCCTCCTACCTCAGCCTCCCAAGCATCTGGGACTATAGGACCAGACCACTGCACCTGACTTTTCTTTACAGAATTTTTTATAGAAAAAGATACTTGTATTCTTGTATACATGTATGGAATTAGATGATCCACAGTGATCAATTTGAATGGCTTAATAAAAGGTGCTGGAGGAGGTCCTTACTTTCACTAGAGCAGAATTTTGGGGTACACGTGATTTGCTGATTCTTCCAGGGCAGGCTGGGTACTGAATACCAGAGGAAGTCGTCATTTTTCTGATGTGCGTGAAGCAATTTAAGGGGCATAATTTTGAAATTGTGACTCAAATAGTCTGTGCCGTGTTTGGGAAGGTTACTTGAGAGGTAGTGGGTAGGGAAGGAAAGTGGTGGATACAAAGGTAGCAATTGGAGAGGTGCAGGGGTCTCTTGGTTACAGTTTCTATGCCACTGCCCCAAGAGTATGGATCCTCTGTTAGGGACTGTAGTATGTAGCAAGCTCTAAAGCACTTCCCAAGACCTTTTTTTTTTGTTGCTATTTTACAATAGAAAAGGAGGTTCGAGAAGTCTCGGTAATTGTCCCTGGGTTTCATAGCTAAGGGTGATAGAACCTCCCGGGGTGACACATTCCGAAGCCTGTGATCTACCCACTTGCCTGCTTTGGTTTTCTTCCTCTCTGTTGGTAAGTGGCCTGGAAAACACTTGCTTAAGTGTAGAGGTGTCTCATGATACTGTTCTCTAGGCCTGCTACTTGCTCTTTTTCTCCTACCTCACTTAAAAAAAAATTATTTTTTGTTTTGTTTTGGATTTTTTTTTTTTTTTGAGATGGAATCTCTTTGTTGCCCAGTCTGGAGAGCAGTGGCACGATCTCTGCTCACTGCAACCTCTGCCTTCCGGGTTCAAGCAATTCTCCTGCCTCAGCCTCCTGAGGAGCTGGCGTTACAGATGCGCACCACCATGCCCAGCTAATTTTTTTATTTTTAGTAGAGACGGGGGGTTTTACCATGTTGGCAAGGCTGGTCTTGAACTTCTGACCTTGTGATCTGCCCACCTCAGCCTCCTAAAGTGCTAGGATTTCAGGTGTGAGCCACTACTCCTGGCCTAGAAAGGTAATTTCTATTTGACAGACACTGTCTAATAGAAACATAATACAAGCCACAAATATAATTTATGATTTTGTGGCAGCCACATTAAAAAGAAGCATGTGAAATTCATTTTCATAATTTATTTAACCCAGTATGTGTAAAATATTACCATTTTAACATGCAACTGATGTAAAAATTACTGGGATGTTTTACATTTTCTTCTTATACTGGTGTTTCTTTTCGAAATCTGGTGTGCAGCTTACACTTACAGCACCTCTCAACCTGGACTAGCCTCATTTCACATGCCTAGTAGCCACATGTGGCCTGTGGCCTTCATATTGGAGAGTGCAGGTCTGTAGAGACATGCATGCTTATCTGACTTGCATGCAAATTCATTGCATGGGTGTGTGTAACGAGTTTGTATGTGAGAATTAGCGTCCCCTCGTTTTTGAGCAGGCATTCGGACCACATGATGGCTTTTTGAAGGAAGTGGCATCAAGAGTGATGCCCAGAGCCAGTTGATGAATATCTGCTGAAGAGATGCACCGGGCAGGGGCTGTCTGGCTGCCTCACGGCCACTGTTGTCTGCTCAGCTCAATATGTGGCAGCATCTTGTCATTTTGTGAGCTCTACGATGTCCCAGTGGTTAGTGACAGGTCTCCCTGTTTCACGCTTCCTTTGTAGGGCTGGCAGCTGATCTAGGGGAGCTTTTGTGGTGGCTGGCATCTATGATGACCCAAGAAGAGATCTTTTTTATTTTTTGTTTTTGACTCCACCTTGTGTGTAACCAGAGGAGCTCTTAAGAGATGATTTTGTCTTGGGATTTAGTTAAGCCTGGCTCTGTTGCTTCTTGTCCCCGCAGTGATGCACCATGCCCATAGTGGATAAATTGAAGGAGGCCCTCAGACCCGGCCGCAAGGACTCGGCTGATGATGAACTGGGGAAGCTTCTGGCCTCCTCCGCCAAGAAGGTCCTTTTACAGAAGATCGAATTCCAGCCTGCCAGCAAGAGCTTCTCCTACCAGCTGGAGTCTTTAAAGAGCAAATATGTGTTGCTCAACCCCAAAACAGAGGGAGCCAGTCGCCACAAGAGTGGAGATGACCCGCCCGCCAGGAGACAGGGTACAGATGTGCAGTGTGCTGGCAGAGAGGCCCTCACTCCGGGGTGACCAAATGGGTGGACTTAAATGTTGACTAGTTAGTAAGAAAAACAGCAGAATGTGGTGGGAGAGTTCTGAGTGTTTACATGCACTCGGTGGGTTTCAGCTATCAAGTGATGATGTGGGATTTGTAGGAGGGAAATCTGTGTACTTGGAGGGCCCTTAGAACTTGCTGTTCCCCCTTTCCCAAATATAACACAGTCAGAAGTCAGGGCTGGAACTAAGAAACAGAAATGGGGTGGGCTGCATGGGGGCACGGTGTGGTGCAGAGTGCCAGGGCCTGGCTCCTTCAGCCACTCTCTCTGAGCCATGCCCTCCATCCCTCGAGTCCTTGGAATCTAGACCCAAGCAGCCTGGGAGGTCCGTGGGATGACCAGGTTTACTCCTGAGCCTACTAGGAAAGTCCAGTAAATGGAATACCAGTTCTCTGTTGCCTCGTTCCGAGTCGCTGCATGCTAAGCGTATGCACCAGGAGTTCCTTTTTGTGTTCGACCTGTGGGTGGACTTACGTCTCTCTTTTCTTCCCTTGTCCCTTTCTTCCTCAGGCAGTGAGCACACATATGAAAGCTGTGGTGATGGAGTCCCAGCCCCACAGAAAGTGCTCTTCCCTACGGACCGACTGTCTCTGAGGTGGGAGCGGGTCTTCCGCGTGGGTGCGGGACTCCACAACCTTGGTAACACCTGCTTTCTCAATGCCACCATCCAGTGCTTGACCTACACGCCGCCTCTGGCCAACTACCTGCTCTCCAAGGAGCATGCCCGCAGCTGTGAGTGTGGGTTTGCCGAGGTGGGGTGGCTGCGGGTCCTTGGGATTACATAAGCCCATGCTCTTGTGGCCCTGCTAAGCTCAGTCTGGGTGAAATTTAGGAGTGCAGTTCTTCATGAGCAGTAACTTAGGAAACCTAAATTTGAATCACGCCTGCTGCAGAACGGGCCATGAAGGTGAGTCATTTAGGTGGGATGGTGTTCAAAAAGCTTTTCTGTAAATAATTACCCAAACAGAAAGAAAGGTTTTCAAATAATACTTCCAAAATATCTAAATTCAATTATTATTTTTTAGAGATCGTGTCTTGCTCCATCACCCAGGCTGGAATGCAGTGGCCCCATCATAATTCACAGTAGTCTTTTTTGAGACAGAGGCTCTCTCTCTGTTGCCCAGGCTGGAGTGCAGTGGTGTGATCTCGGCTCACTGCAACCTCTCCCTCCTGAGTTCAAGTGATTCTCCAGCCTCAGCCTCCCCAGTAGATGCGGCTACAGGCATGTGCCACCACACTGGGCTAATTTTTGTATTATTATTATTATTTTTTTAGTGGAGACGGGGTTTTATCATATTGGTCAGGCTGGTCTCGAGCTCCTGACTACCTCACTGTGGTCTTGAACTCTTGGGCTCAAGTGATCCTCCCATCTCCACCTACCAAAATGCTGGGATTATAGGTGTGAGCCACCGTGCCTGACCCAGTTGTTTTATGCATTTGTTGTATCAGTGTAGCTTTAATGTATTATAAAACATGCAGCCTGGGTAACACAGCAAGATCCTGTCTCTACAAAAACAAATCAAGAACAGGCACAGTGGCTCACACCTGTGGGAGGCCAAGATGGGCAGATCACTTGAGCTGAGGAGTTCAAGACCAGCCTGGCTAACATGACGAAACCCCGTTTCGCCTAAAAATACAAAAATTAGCTAGGTGTGGTGGTGCACACCTTTAATCCCAATTACTCGGGAGGCTGAGACGTTTGAACCCAGGAGGCAGAGGTTGCAGTGAACTGACCAAGAACACACCACTGCACGCCAGCCTGGGCGACAGAGCGAGACTCCATTTCACACACACAAAAAACAAATCAAAACGATTAGCTGGATGTGGTGGTGTGCTCTACTTGATTAAAATAGAGGTGAAATAAGATATAACTTACCAAAACCTGAAGAAAATGGAAAGTGGAGAGTCTTCTATTAAATTAAAGCACTGGTTAATCTTCCCATGGGCCAGGCGCCATGGTTTACACCCGTAATCCCAATACTTTGGGAGGTTGGGGCTGGTGGATCACCAGGTTAGGAGTTTAGGACCAGCCTGGCCAAGATGGTGAAACCTGGTCTCTACTAAAATTACAAAAATTAGCCAGGCACAGTGGCAGGCGCCCGTAATCCCAGTTACTCGGTAGCCTGAGGCAAGATAATCACTTCAACCCAGGTGGCAGAGATTGCAGTGGCCCAAGATGGTGCACCAGTGTGCTCCAGCCTGGGTGACAGAGTAAGACTATGACTCAAAAAACAACAAAAAATCTTCCCATGAAAAATAACAAGCAGAGACGTTATTTCTTTGTAACTTTTTTTTTTTGAGATGGATGTCGCCCAGGATGGAGTGCAATGGTGTGATCTCAGCTCACTGCAAGGTCTGCCTCCCGGGTATAAGCAGTTCTCCTGTGTCAGCCTCCTGAGTAGTTGGGACTATAGATGCATACCACCACACCCGGCTAATGTTTATATTTTTAGTAGAGATGGGGTTTCACCGTGTTGGTCAAGTTCTCGAACTCCTGACCTCAGGTGATAGCCTGCCTTGGTCTCCTGAAGTACTAGGATTACAGGTGTGAGCCACTGCGCCCAACAGATTTCTGTGTAACTTTTAAGAAACAGTTCCAGTCCTTTGCACATTCTTCCAAAGAATAGAGAAGGAGAGAGAGAATCCTTCCCAGCTCATTCTAAAAAGTTCCTGTAACTCAGGTAGCAATAATAAGGAAAATATGAGAAAGGAAATCGATAACCACAACTTATTCATGAACATAGATATAAAAATTCTAGGAAAATACTACCAAATGACACAGTTTCTAAAAAACTGTAAGCCACTCCTGTTTATCCTAGGAATGCAAGGATGCTTTAATCTCAGAACATCTCTAGAATTCTGGAGAGAGCAGAGCAGTCGAAAGTACAGCTCAGGAGCCTGGCCTGTAGGCTTTGCTTCCCGGCTTTGCCCCTTAGTAGCTGAGCTTTTGAGAATGCCCTGGTCTGTGGACAAGTGAGACTGTCTTCCTCACAGAGTTGTGTGAGGCTCAGATAGCTTCTGAGTGAGTCAAGTACCTGGAGTAGCAGCCACAAACGGCTACTGAAGGGACTGTGGAGGGGACTGCTCTTTGCTGCCTTAACTGCTGTTGCTGTATTAACAGAGTAAAGGAAACGGTCACCTGAAAATAGATGCCTGCTAAAAATATATATGATTAAAAAAATCTTAGCAAAGTAGCAACAGAAGGACCATTTTCTGGCTGGACTTGGCACCTCACACCTGCAGTCTCGGCGCTTTGGGAGACTGAGGTGGGAGGATCGCTTGGGGAAAGAAAAAAGAACATTTTCTTAACCTAGTAAACCTAGCACCTACCAGAACAGAAGCTACAAAAAAATTATTTTAATTTATTTTTTTTTCTCTTTCTTTTAGAGACAAGGTCTTGCTCTGTTGCCCAGGCCATAGGGCAGTGGTGGTGGTGCCATCATAGCTTATATGATTAAAATAGAGGTGAAGCTCCTGGGCTCACGTGGTAGATTACATAAGCCAATGATTTTCTTATGGCCCTTTTAAAATGAATGTGTCGGCCAGGTGTGATGGCTCATGCCTGTAATCCCAGCACTTTGGGGGAGGCCAAGGCAGGAAGATACCTTGAGGCCAGCCTGGGCAACATAGTGAGACCCCATCTCTACAAAAAAATAAAACTAAGATGGCTGCTTGTAGCCCCTATTTCCAGTGGTGATCTTGGTAGTTTTGAGGTGGTTCTGGGAGGACTTTCAGTAAGATTTGACTAGATGGCGTTGTTTTCATCTCATGGTTTTGGAGCTAAGACTGCTGTCCCGGGCCTGTAAGCGGCCCTTCCACTGTAGAGCTGTCTTTCGTCATTGATTTCTCTGTAGGATCTTTTCGAGCCATTTGACAACTGTGTGAGGATTAATTTCGCTAAAACTAGATAACCTCTAAATTGCTGTAATCTGGCACAGGCGAGCTGTGGTATGTTGCAGTGTCTCAGCAGCAAGTGTGTGAGTGAGGCAGCCATGGCCAGCCCTTCAGGGGAGCACCTGGTCTTCCTTCCAGTACTGGTCCTGTGGGCCAGCATTATTGTGAAATACTAGTGCACCTTAGTATCTTAGAACATAGCAAGAGAAGTTGTGGCCTCTTTTCCTGCATCCCACTGGATCCTGAGTGGCCCGTAAGTGGGCTGTGGCTGTGGTCTCCCCTCCCAGCACATGGCATTGGAAGAGTCTTGAGGGTCCTAAGAGGTATTCTGACAAGGGTCCACTGTGCATGTGGCACGGAGCAGCAGCTCCTGCCATGGGCTGGCCTGTCTTTGGCACTGATACTTACCTAGAAGAGAAACAACATAAGTAGCCCAGGAGGAATGCAGTTCAGTCCTATCCTCTTGTTTCCCCGATCTGCGTAGCAGTGTCCCTGTAGTCACGGATTTGACTTTCGAGTTACATTTTCCTGAATTACATGAAAAAAGATTTGTCTGTGTGTCGCTTAAATTTAATCTCATGTATTGCTGGAGAACCTGGCTTAGATTGTTTTATACCCTATTCAAGAGTGATATGTATCAGGCTGGAATGCAGTGTTGTAATCATAGCTGACTGCAACCTCCATCTCCCAGGCAATCCTCCCACCTCAGCCTCCCAAGTAGCTGGTACTAAAGACTCATACCCCCGTGTAATTTTTACCAGGTAATTGTTCTGGTGTTCTTTAGGGTAGAGATGGGGTTTTGCCGTGTTGCCCAGGCTGGTCTGAAACTCCTGGGCTCAGTGACCCTCTTGCACCAGCCTCCTTAGGTGTTGGAATTAGAGGCGTGAGCCACTGTGCCCCACCAGCAGAATTTTTATAGAATAATTAGAGGCTTAATTTCTGCACAACTTTTTTGAGTTGGAGTCTCACTCTGTCACCCAGGCTGGAGTGTAGTTGCCACAATCTCAGCTCACTGCAACCTCCAGTTCTGGTGTTCTAGTGATTCTCCTGCCTCAGCCTCCTGAGTAACTGGGATTATAGATGCCTGCCACCACACCTGGCTAATGTTTGTATTTTTAGTAGAGATGGGGTTTCACCATGTGGCCAGACTGGTATTGAACTCGTGACCTCAAGTGTTCCACCGCCTTGGCCTCCCACAGTGCTGAAGTTACAGGCGTGAACCACCACAGCCAGTCATTTTCTATACAATTTGTGTAGTCAAACTGTATCTTACCTGAAGTTTAAAAAAAGAGTTCTTTAGTATTTGTTTGTTTTCTTTCAAATAACATAGTTTTGCCTAATTTTGAGTTATTTTAAAAATAAAAGTTGCAAATGGATATGGGTTGGGTGTGGTAGCTCATACCTGTAACCCCAGCACTTTGGGAGGCCGAGGTGGGTGGATCACCTGAGGTTGGGAGTTTGAGACCAGCTTGACCAACATGGAGAAACCCTGTCTCTACTAAAAATATGAAAAATTAGCCAGGCATGGTGGTACATGCCTGTAATCCCACCTACTCGGGAGGCTGAGGCAGGAGAATTGCTTGAACCTGGGAGGCAGAGGTTGTGGTGAGCTGAGATCGTGCCGCTGCACTCCAGCCTCGGCGACAAGGGCAAAACTCCATCTCAAAAAAGGAATAAGTTAAAAAAAATTTTTTTAATTGATACAGTTAGAAAAGGCAAGCGGAAGTCTAAAATGAAAAATAACCACCCCCACCCCCCTTTATGTAAAGGCAATTCCATGGAGAGTTTTTTTTACAACTCTTGGAGAAGAATTTTGTGCAAATAATAGCATTTTAATGTATATTTGCTAAGCAGGCTGCATACTGTTCCATTATTGATTTTGAAGTCTGAGTAAGGAGTTGGAGATATTAGGGGGGGAATTGATTCAGGTGAGTTTTGTATTATGAGATGGATCTGTTTGAACAGGTAATGCACCGTGTACCAGAAATGTGTCTTCTGAGTGTGCACTTTAGAGAAAGCCATGTGCACAAGGAGAAACATGCAGGATTGTCCATTGCAGTGTGTCTATGACAGCAGAGAAGATGGAAAGGCTGAATGTATGTTAGTGGTGGGTATAGAAATAAATCGTGATTTCGTTCAGTGAAATATTCTAGCTGGAAGATGTGAAGGAACTGGAGCTGTGTCTAGCAACATTGACTTTTGTAAAGCACATTGCTGAATCATACATAACCGCATGGTATGATTTATAGAGAGGAGGTTTGGAAACATGTAGCTACAGTGCCATTTATTGTTTGTGGAAACACGTGTGTGTGTCAATAAATACATGAGTGAGAACAATAATTGCCTGATTCGGGATAGTGGTTTCTTTGAATGAAGGAACATGGAAAATGGGGTTGAGAGATTGAGGGGGAGTTCAGCGATCACAGCAGCATTTACTTACATCATAATTTGAAAGGTAAAAATGTACCACTGTCTAGCCTAATGGCTAGTGAGACGTTTTATGTAGAGCAGGGGTGGACAGACTCATCTGGCCTGCTTTCTGTGTGTGTAAATAAAGTTGTATTGAACACGTTCATGCCCATCGTTCATATAGTGTCTATGGCTGCTTTCTCTGCAATGCAGGGGCACACTTGTGACTCGACTCTATAGCCTCAAACCAGAAAGTATTTTCTATCCGGATCTTCCCAGAAAACATTTTCAACCCCAGATATTTCCAGTTTAATAGAAGCATTGGAACAGACATTCTCATGTCTGAGGCACAAAGTGAGGGCCTGTGAGCCCTGAAGTATTTTAGCCTATTGACCATGTGATGCAGCTTAGGCATTCGAGAAGACATCTTTCAAGCTTCATTTTGAAAATCTGACTTAGGCCGGGCGCGGTGGCTCATACCTGTAATCCCAGCACTTTGGGAGGCCGAGGTGGGTGGATCACAAGGTCAGAAGATTGAGACCATCCTGGCCAATGTGGTGAAACTCTGTTTCTACTAAAAATACAAAAAAATTTATCTGAGCGTGGTGGCGCACGTCGTCCCAGCTACTTGGGAGGCTGAGGCAGGAGAATTGCTTGAACCCAGGAGGTGGAGATTACAGTGAGCTGAGAGTGCGCCACTGCACTACAGCCTGGATGACAGTGCGAGACTCCTGTCTCGGGGAAAAAAAAAATCTGACTTAGTCTTCTTATAAGCAGATAATACGAATGGAATATGAAAAGCGTCATGCACAGGTCAACGTTAACGCTGGCTGGTGGTGTGAGGTTTTTAGAGTTTCATCTTTGGACGGATCAGAGCCCCCAAATGCCATCCAACCGAGAACAACATTTCCTTGGTGGTCACCCAGTCAGCCGGGGTCTGAGGTCTCTGGCTGAGTCCTCTCACAGCCTGGTTTGGTCATACCTGTTTGTGTTTGGGGCAGGGGCCTCTTCACGAGTTCTTTGAAAGCTCTTGTCTTAACATTGCTCCTCTTTCCACGTCGCAGGCCACCAGGGAAGCTTCTGCATGCTGTGTGTCATGCAGAACCACATTGTCCAGGCCTTCGCCAATAGCGGCAATGCCATCAAGCCTGTCTCCTTCATCCGAGACCTGAAAAGTAAGCATCGATCCATTTTTGCATTTTCATTATTTATTTTTTAAATTTTTTTTAGAGAAGGGGTTCTTGCTCTGTTGCCCAGGCTGGTCTCAAACTCCTGGCCTCAAGCGGTTCTTCCACCTTGGCCTCCCAAGGTGTTGGGATTACAGACGTGAGCCACTGTGCTGTTCTCTGTTACTGAAGGCCTGCTGAGTGCTCACCCCTTAGGAGGCGCTGGGGAGTTGGTAGAGGGCAGAGAAGAGTGAATCCTGGATGAAGTCTTGGGAGTCCCTCTGTGCTAACAGCCCTGCATGTGGTGGCACAGACTCAAGGAATAACAGTTTAGAGACGTGGTCTGGAGTCAGTGGGGAAGCCTCTCAGTGGCAGTAGGTCATGACAGATTGCTTTTCCTTTGGGCAGGTAGAGGGGTTCTTGTGTATTTGGGGCAGGCAGATGAGCCTGAGGGAGGGCTGGGAGGAAGGATGGATACGGAATGTACCAGCTCCTTTCTGAGTATCAGGAATGAGGTGTGTATGCTGTTAAAAAAAAGTCTCATTCACATTCACTTGGCAGAAAGAAGAGGCCTGTTACTGGTTTTTGAAACTTGTATAAATTGTCGTACTATAAAATAATTATTCACCGGTGTTTTATATTGGCTCTTGTAGAGCTAATTACTCAGTGGATTTTACATTCTTTTTTGTTTGAGACAGGATTTTGCTCTTACACCAGGCTGGCGGACTGGGACAGTGATGCAATCACAGCTCACCGCAATCTCAGACTCCTGGAATCCTCTGGCCCTGGCCTCCTGAGTTGCTGGGATTACAAGTGCGTGCCACCACACTTGGCTGGTATTTTTGTATTTTTTGTAGAGACCGTGGCTGGCCTCCAACTCCCAGCTCCAAGCAATCCTCCTGCCGTGGCCTTCCAAAGTGCTGGGATTACAGGCGTGAGCCATTACACCCAGCTGGATTTTACATTCTCTTTTCTTTTTCAGATAGAGTCTTGCTCTGTTGCCCAGGCTGGAGAGTGTGGTGGTGAGAGCGTAGCTCACTGCAGACTCAACCTCCCAGGCTCAAGCGATCCTCCTGCCTCCGCCACCCAAGTAGCAGGCACATGCCATTATGACAGGCTAATTTTTTATTATTTTTTTGTAGAGACGAAGTCTCCGTATGTTGCCCAGGCTGGTCTAGAACTCTTGGGCTCAAGCGATCCTCCCACCCTGGCCTCCTGAAGTGTTAGAGTCACAGGCATAAGCCACCTCACCCAGCCAGCATTTACTTTTTTGAGGGCTTGGTGTTCTCGTCTGTGAAGTAGTGAAGGTTCAGGCCTCGCATCTTACTGAGAAAGTAGTGGCCATGAAGAATTGTGATTGGGATGTAGAAAATTCCTGTAGAGCTTGTTTTCCTCACTTGTTCCTTTGAAAAGTTCCAGTGTTTTCCCCTTGTAACTCGGGAAGGCAGCTGCAGCCTGTTTTATGAGAAGGTATGGGCTCTCCTCTCCCTGTTTTTCCTCCTCTAGAGATCGCCAGGCACTTCCGCTTTGGGAACCAGGAGGACGCGCATGAGTTCCTGCGGTACACCATCGACGCCATGCAGAAGGCCTGCCTGAACGGCTGTGCCAAGTATGTGCTTCCCCACCCACCTTCCAGGGGGCTTTGGACACCTTTCTACACGGTGGCAGCAGCATTCCTGTGGCGACAGCCAAGCCCGGCTCCTTTCTACCCAGGCTGCCCTCGGGTAGACGTGGCAGAGTTTGCCTCTGGGTACTCAGCCTGCTGGAACCCAAATAAGGGACTGCCCCTGCTTCCTGGGAAAAGGCTGCCTCTGGATATATCCTAGGGCGGCTTGGCAGGATTGGAAGGCTGTGGTGGCGGCAGTAGCTGGGTCTCAGCAGCTCAGTTGAGGGGAAATACGTTAGCAGAACGTCTTAGGGTATTCAGTTAATACCGTGGACTTCTCCAGTCTCTTAAAAGTCACATAGGTTTTAAAAGGATGGGGTGGTAGGAATTATGTTTTCTGCAATATGATTTACACACATGTAAGTACAAACGGGGAACTTTAACATGAGGAAGTTTATTTATAACTTTGGGATCTTACTGTGCCTGGCCGCTATTTCTTATTCACACTGGAAAGCATAGGGCATAAGGGTGTGGTGCCAAGCGACGGTTTGGCACCACGTATACCCTTAGATGTCATGGTCACCATCACAAATTGTCTCTCTCTCATTCCTGAGTTCATATATTCAGACCAAAGAAAACAGGTAGGAAATGCTCAGAACTTCCTCTTACTGCCTCAGCTTAGGATCTTAGAAATACTTTACATTAGGAAACACACCTAGAATGTTTTTCAGAGAATTTGAGTTGCAGCAATGAGTGACTGAAGTGGCAAAACCACTGGCTTCAGTGGATGATATTCTTACATAAGTAAGACTTAGAGAAAGAAAACATTTTGAGACAGAGTCACACTCTGTTGTCAGGCTGGAGTGCAGTAGGTGGGGTTCCAGGCCCACACCACCATGCCTGGCTAATTTTTGTCTTATTAGTAGAGACGGGTTTTGCCATGTTGCCAGGCTGGACTCAAACTCCTGGCCTCAAATGATCCGCTGCCCGGGCCTCTCAGTGCTGGGATTACAGGCGTGAGCCACAGTGCCTGGCTTAAGAAAACTTACTTAAATCATTTATATGAAGGCAGCCTTCACTGCATTCCTAGGATGTTTTTTTGCCTATTCTGAGAGTTTGGTTACCTCTTCCCCTTCCTCTGAAGGGGCTCAAGCCTCCCTGCTCCCTGTATGATCCTGGGTCTGCCCTTCTGCGCTGACCTTCAGTGCACTGGGTGATTGAACTGTTGTTCCCTGTGTGCTGGGCCCCACATCTACTACTGGGAATTTAGAGGTGGAAACCTGGGATCTGGAGCTTATGGTGTAATGGGGGAAGATAGATGACCTCACCAGCATTTACAGGGTGGTGCCGGAAGCGCTGTCATGGGGGAGAACACCTCACCCAGAGGTGGCTTCCTGGGAGAAGTGATGGGGCCTGGCTCTGGGTGCAGGGTGCAGCCACCTGGGGCACTCCTAGATTGGGTGCTGACCCCGGGCTTCTGTCAGGCTGATTGACCAGAGTCTATGGGTAGGAGAAATTCGTGAGGAGTGGGATGGGAGGTAGAAGGAATAATGGTTTGGATTTGGGGCGGTGGGACAGGAGGAGTGCAGCTCTGTGGTCTGGGCTTGGGGGCGGGTGGTAGTGAGCCATTCGTGGGTACCAGGACAGGTGGGAAGAGGAGGGAGGCCAGGTATTGAGTGGCCGGGCATTGCCGGAGACCAAGAGGGAGATGTCCACCTACCAGATGTCGGTCCATGAGAGCTTTCACTGGTCCGTAGTGAAATGTGCAGGGAGGAAAATAACAATGAGACAATGGTGAGCTTTTCATAAAGCAAATTCTTCCATTTACTTTGCAGGTGGAGGGGCCTTTTTGTCTTCTGGTTCTGTAAGTGACTTTTGGTGTTACTTGCATTACGATCTGAGCGTGCTTATATTTCTACTTCATAGAAGTTCCCGATGTTGCTCTGTGACCTGGTAGATACCAGCATTTGAGAATGCTCCCTGCATCAGCATACTTGATGGTGGAGTCTCAGGCTGCCAGGGTGTCGGTTTGCTTCTGTGTCTATTGATGGGTCTGTTGGTGATGCTGTTTCACTTTCTATATCCATGTGATCTTGTCTCCTCCATCTGTTTTGAGTAGTGTGTTAAGTCTGTGGTTTTTGGAATCCTGGTGTGTTTCTGTCTCCTTACATCTCCTCTGGTTTTGCTTTACACAGTTGGTTCTGGTTAGATACTCATAACTGTCATGTCTTCACTGAGAATCGTGGCTTTTAGCATTTTGAACGTCTTCACTTGTCACATGGAGTGCTTTTTGTTCCAAATTCTGCCGAGGCCAGCATCAGCGCTGCAGCCCTTGCTTTGCAGGGTGTCCGCCGGTGTGGGTGACACCCCCCGGGGCACCAAGGAAGGACAACTGTGCAGACCCAGGCACAATTAATGCCTGAAGTATAACTCACTGCTTACTTATATCCAGCTTATATATATATAATCATACTTACTTCTATGTAATCTTTCTATATAATCATATAATAACTTACTGCTTACTATATCTAGCTTATATATATATATAAACATACTTAGTTCCATATAATCTTTCTATATAATCATATAGGTATTGTAGTCGGAGCTGCACTGACACATTTAGTGCTGATTTGTAGAATCCTTCCGTATAACCATATAGTAGTTTGTGGTAGGAGGAATGCCTAGAGCAGTCACAGAACAGAAGCAGCACATGGGAAAACAGCCAGACCAGGACAAGGACCAAAAACCCAGGTGGTGGTGTCCCTGTCTGAAAGGGCATACGCTATATGGCAGGCTTGGAGCAGGAGCCTCTCCTCCTGAGAAAGGAGTTGTAGCACCTTGCATCCAGTTCCTGTGGAAAGTAGGCCTCGGGCCTGAGATCCTGGAAGTAACCGAGGGAGAAGAACCCCTCTGGTGTGACCAGTCATGGCGGCTGTCCACCCTGTCAGTCGTTTCTCGCTTCTGTGCTAGCCCAAATCATCCTCCCATAAAAATCTTGCGAAGAGCACAAGTCTGTCAGCTCCCACTGCATTTGCTTACAGTATCTTTCTATTAGAAACCTTTTGAAGTCTCCAGCCCCCAGATAAGAAGTATTGCACACGACACCTGTTGGACACAGCCCACTTCCTTTCCTCGGTGACCTAACGGGGGTAGACCCCTTTTCTGTACATGACCTTCTACTACTGCACACGGCCCACCTCTCTGCCCAGGTGACATAATGGGGTGGCCCTTTCACTTGTGACTCACGTGATTATGTATACCCTATCACTAAGCCTGTAGATGATCTCACTTACAACTCTTCCCCCTGCTTTTACCTAATAAATACAGACGCTTCTGGGCAGTTGGGGCCTCACCTGTCTGCTCATATGTGGCATGGCCCCCTGAGTCCAGCTGCTCTTCTCCAGTTCTTCAGCATCCTGTCTCTTCTCGGATTCTGCACTTCAGCACAGCGTAAGGGACACCCCACGACCCTGTAGGGCCAACGGCCCTACACACCGTCCCCTTGCCATCACTTTCTGAACCCTTCCATAGAGGCATTCCTAAGGTTTGGTCTTGCTTTGTAAGCCAAAGTGATCCTCTCTTAACAGGCAGGTTAAGCCCTTTCACGTTTCCTGTTATGATTGAAAATTTTAGTCTCAATTCTGTTGTATTTATGTAATTATAGGTAGCATATTTGCTGTGCTTATTTCTGATTTTTCTTTATTTTTCAAACTACTTTTGATATTAGATTTGTATTTTTGTTTTAGCGGCTACGTTCGTATATAAACCGTTCTTTTTGAGACAGGGCCTTGCTCTGTCTCCCAGGCTGGAGTGCAGTGGTGGGATCCTAGCTCACTGCAGGCTCGACCTTCCATGCTCAAGCCATCCTCCCACCCAGCAGCTGGAACTGCAGGCCCACGCAGCCCTGCCCACTGGTTTCATGCACCCTTTTGAAACGCGCCTGGTCCTGTTTTCTCAGCCCTCACCGTCCCATTTGTTGGCTGGTGGTTCCCTTTACTTCCGGCCGCTTTTCCTCCCTCCCTCCCACAGTTTATTTGCGTGATTTCTTTTTTGTTGTCGGCATGTATAAGGTGGTTGGGTTATGGTTACATCTTGGCATTGCTTGCTGCCCACCCTCATTTGGCCCTGCTGGTAAAGCCTGGCCTCTGGTAAGTTCCTCCAGGAAGGCAGCTGTGTACAGCACTCTGCTTCCAGAAATGAGGCCGCTGTCACTGCGTCGAGGACGTTCGGCTTGGAGTTCTGGTTGCTGTGTCTTTGGCGTCGTGCCTGTTTTCTGGGGCTGGTTGGAATCCTGTGAGGTGTTTTGATTCTTGTTCGTCACTGCTTTGTGCTTGAAGCACTTCTGTAGACTAGGCCTGCTTTCATTTATCTTGTGGGTCTGGTGGTTTTCAGGATTCCTAATCCAGACCACTGACTCTGTCTGCACCGTGCAGTGCAGTTTGGTGGTTGGCGTTTCTTCTGGCAGCAGAAGGGTCGATAGTCTCAGATGGTTTGAGTTTTTTCAGGACCCTGATGTCTCTTTGCCTCCCTTCACTGCCCTTCTAAGGACGCCTGCCTACCTTTTTGCCTTCTCCCCCTGAGAACCCGTGCCTGTGGAGACCACCACTCCAGCATGCCCGTGAGACCCTATAGTCATGCCCCACTCCGGGATGCCCCTTGGCAGCTGTGATTCTGGGTGGCTCTCAGGCCACCTCCTGCCCCCTCCTCCCTTCTTGCCCAGTTGTTCCCCACTTTCCTTTCTCCCCAGGCCTGGGACGCCCGGGAGAGCTTGCTGGGTAAGGTGATGGTTGTGCTTCCTCCACTTTGGTCGTACAAGAGGCGATTCTGTGTGGCCCCCTGGGCTCTGGTGCTTTCAGGCTCTGGATGCTGGGGGTCGGGGTTGTTGGCTGGTCTAGATTTTGGCAGCTACTGTCACACACAGCTACCCACAATTCTCAGGCCATGCAGAGATTACGTCCTTCCTAGTTTTTGCAGTTAAAGGTCCCTTTTGAAGAACGGTGGCAGCTTATTTTTCATTTTCTAGCTTTGCAGAATAAAAATCGGGTGACCCTGTATTGGTCCCCCAAATATTTCAGAGCTCCCAGAGTCTAGAAAGTACCATGGGAAATAGTCACACAGGTCAGATGAGAGGCTGAGTTGTGCGCGTTCTGTGGCGGGGGCGGGAGGGGGGCGCGGTGCAGCCCGTGGGTGTGGAATGGTCTGGGTGGCCATGGGAAGTGTGGGGAGTACCCTGGAAACAGCTCTGCTTTGCTCCAGTGAGAAGTTGGGGGAGCAGCTGGGGAGACGGGGCCGGAGAGCCTGGGGAGAGGGGAAGCTCGTCTGGAGGGAGTAGGCATGCCTGCACGCTGCACAGCCTCCTAGTAAAGAGCCTGCAGAGCCAGCTGGCCTTGCGCATGGAGGCCTCAGGCGACTCTGAGGAAGGCAGTTCCAGAGGAGTGAGTCAGGACCAGATGCAGTGGGCTGCAGGTGAGAACCAGGAGCAGAGACTGGATGTAGTGTCTTGTTTCAGAGTCTTCCCAGCATGAGTGGCTGTCAATGGATACGTAGACGTGGGAGGCACGGGGCAGCTCTGGGCAGGGTGAGAAGAGCCCCCATGGCTTTGATCACCTCGGATCCCAGTTAGTGGGGGCTTGGGGGGGCATGAGTGCAGGGCTCCTGACCCTGAAGCCTACACCTGACTCCGCTGTCCTCCCTGGAAAGGGTGCAGAGCTGTGGAGTTTTGGTCCTGTTTGCACCTTTGTTCCCATCCCTATCCCTCTTCCGTGACTGGGGACCAGCTGTCTGATGACCAGCAGAGAAGTGGAGGGGTGGGCCGGGTGGGTGTTCTTGTTTCAGGGGGGTGTTTGGCCTCCAGCCTCACCCCAGATTTAGGTACTTACTTTTTGGTGAGACTGAAAAGAAGAGGCAACAGAGTGAGTGAGGATGCACACACGTTTCTCAGGGCTTTCATTTTCGTTGAAGGTTTGAAATTGCTAATGTGGGGAGCGGGGCCCTCAGGAGGTCAGTGCTCTGCAAAGAGACTGCCAGGCAGCTCGGGCCCAGGATGGAGCTTAGGGACCTGTGGCAACTCGGGTAGGGGGTGGGGTTTCGCAGCCCCAGGCTGAGCTGGTGATTGGTGGGCCTGGGGGTGCTGGGATGGGGCCATCCCTCATGTCATCTTGCCAAGTCCTTCCCTTAAAGGCTGTGGCCTCCTTTTCAGGTTGGACCGTCAAACACAGGCTACTACGTTGGTCCATCAGATTTTTGGAGGGTATCTCAGATCACGTGGTAAGTGGAGACATTTGCTCTACTGCTTCTTGCCAGGATTAGAACACGAACCCAGGAAACCCTAAGAGTGGGACACAGGCTGGGGCTCCTTCTTCACTATGCAGACCTGGATCAGTCTCTGAGGTCTTCAGCCATGGTTTCCTCTGAGACTCCTGGCCCACCTGGCCACTGGGCTGGTGGTTAGAATATTCCCATGAGGGCAGAGTGCAGTGGCTCACACCTGTATGTAATTCTAGCACTTTGGGAGGCCGAGGCAGGTGGATCACCTGAGGTCAGGAGTTTGAGACCAGCCTGGCCAACCATGGCCAACATGGTAAAACCCCCATCTCTACTAAAAATACAAAAATTAGCTGGGCATAGTGGTGCATGACTGCAATCCCAGCTACTCAGGAGGCTGAGTCAGGAGAATTGCTTGAACCCAGGAGGTGGAGATTGCAGTGAGCCGAGGTTGCACCACTGCACTCTAGCCTAGACGACAGAGCAAGACCCTGTCTCAAAAAAAAAACCAACAATTCCCATGAAGAAGTTTGGAGAGAGCTCTTTCCTCCGCCCTCCATCAGCAGAAGAGTACCGCATGTGACAGTTACCAGTCCAGGCAGGGAGGGCCCTGTGAGTGCAAAGGCGTTGACGTCCATCTTTGTGAAGTTCGGTGGTGAAGAGGAGCGCTCTCTCTGGACACCAGGATGCTCCAGGGGCTAGTGGGAATCTCGTCTTTGGCCAAAGCCCTGTGCAGAGTTTGCCTCCCTCCTGGGTCTGGGTCTTGGGAGCCGGGGGTGCCTGTGCCGGGCCACACCTGCTCCACTGCCTCTCTGTTCTATTGCAGTGAAGTGCTCCATGTGCAAGAGCGTCTCAGACACCTATGACCCCTACTTGGACATTGCGCTGGAGATCCGGGTACAGACCTGTCCTGTCCTTCATATTTGCGGTAGGAGAGCGAGGCCAGAGGGCGAAACAACCAGCAGAACAGTAAAGACATCAGATCAGAATAGACGTGGAGAAAGCTCCTTTGCTTCCTGCCACCTTGCAGAACAGACCATTGTCTTTCCCTGTTTCTTTCTAGAGTTTTTCCTATGCATATCCTTTTATTTAAAGAAAGAAATGGTGAAATTGAGTTTTGCATTCGGAGGCATGAGCAGGAACAATGCTGTCCCCAAGGCTTGAGGAGAGTCCCTTGCTTGCTGTGGGTGGCGTGCAGGTTTTGAAGCGCTCTGGGCACCTGGGAGAGCATCCTAGGCTTTCATGCACGCCCTGCTCCAGCTGCGGTCTGCGGGAGGCTGACTGCCTTCACTGGGCCAACCCAAGCTCCAGAGCAGGTCCAGCCACGAGACCATCTTGATGAAAGTGACTGATTGATGGCAGACCTCCTGTGCTGTCATTTCTTTTTTTCTTATGGATGGGGGCTCGAGGGACAGGGTGTTGCTCTGTGACCCAGACAGGAGTGCAGTGGTGCAATCACAGCTCCCTGTAGTCTTGACCTCTAGGCCTAAGTGATCCTCCCTCCCACCTCAGCCTCCCACACAGCTGGTACTGTAGGCACGCACCATCACGCCTGGCTAATTTTTTAAATTTTTCATAGAGATGGGGGTCTTGCTATGTTGCCCAGGCTCGTCTCAAACTCCTGGCCTCAAATGATCCTCCTGCCCCAGCCTCCCAAGGTACTGGGATTATGGGCATGAGCCACTGTTCCCAGCTGCTGTCATTTCTTGTTACTGGAGGAGGAGTTCCAGTCTGGCAGCTAGTGGGCAAATTTTGATGTGAGTCAAGTTTTATGATTTGCTGCCTCAGCCTAAAAAGGACCTTAAATTTGGCATTTCTTGAATCAGCCTTTTTCTTCTGCTGTGTATTTTACTCGCTGTTTTTGTCCTTCTCAGCAAGCTGCGAATATTGTGCGTGCTCTAGAACTCTTCGTGAAAGCAGATGTCCTGAGTGGAGAGAATGCCTACATGTGTGCTAAGTAAGTTTCACGTTGCTTGTGGCAGAAGACTGACACAGGCAAGATTGAAGTCACCCCACCTGACAGCGTTGTGCCCGCCCTGTCTCTTCCTTAGTAGTGACCCCGGCTCTTATTTCTTGAGGAACCTGCGTATGTTCTAAAACCACAAACATCTAAATAACTCAAATGAAGTGATAGTCATGATTTTTATAGCTACAGTTTATGTCATGCCTGTCCTTCTTCTAAAGAGTCTACGTGTATTGTGAAGTAGGAACTGTGGTTTCCCCGTTGGCAAGGATGGTGAAAGTGAGGCACAGAGAAGTGAAGTGACCAGCCCTGGGGCCACACTACAAGGATGCAGCACAGTACAAGCTCACATCAGTTTACACTGGCTCATACCAGGCAGCTACCCCACGGGCTGTGTCCACCCAGCTGCTTTCTTGCCTCTTAAGGAGTGTTTTCTGTGGCTTTCGTGTTTTACCTAACTGGTTTTGGACATTTTTCCATTTCTGCCGGTAAAACTCTTACTTTGCCTTTCTTTGTATTTTCAGTAGGTTTCTTTGGGTTTCAACATGTTGGTCAGGCTGGTCTCAAACTCCTGAACTCAGGTGATCTGCCTGCCTCGGCTCCTAAAGTGCTGGGAGCACACCACTACAGCCAGCCGAATGTCTTCATATCTAGGTCGTTTAAAGCTGTAGGCACTAAAGAATGTATTCTTAATCCTGCTTTCCTCCTCTTTAAGTCTGTTTCCCACAGCTCTTGAAGCTGCGCGCCTCTGCCTGTTTTCTCCCGCGTTGGCGTGCTTTCTGTCTTTGCTTATGTTGACTTCCTGCCTGCCGGTTTTATCACTCAGCCACATCTGCTCTAATTTACTCTTTCCTGTATTACCCCAAAGCAACTTTTTCCTGAATCTTGTTTAGTCTCCTGGTGGGTACAGTACTTTTATTTTTTTGCTTTAGAATCTCCCCATTTTCTGTAGTCTTGTTTCCCTTGGTAGCCTTCCTTTACTTGAGGCGTGCTAAAGGTGATTTTTAGGGGAGCAAAAGCTTTCAGTCTCATCTGTGAAGATTCCACTATTACACAGCAGTTGTTACTGTTATTAGCATGAAGACAACATTTTTCAGAGCATGAATTCATGATTAATTAATCTTTCTCATTCACCTTCTTCATAGATGCAAGAAGAAGGTTCCAGCCAGCAAGCGCTTCACCATCCATAGAACATCCAATGTTTTAACTCTCTCTCTCAAGCGCTTTGCCAACTTTAGCGGGGGGAAGATCACCAAGGTGAGTGCTCAGGGCACCATCCCAGGCAGTTCCATGGGCCACAGTTGGCATCAGAATAACACAATGAAAGTGATAGCTGCAAGTGTGACAGCTGCCATTTCCACAGTACCTGTCCCTGTTCTAACGTTCTGCAGATACTGTGAAGTAGGGACTGTAGTTTCCCCGTTGCCCAGGATGGGCAAACAGACACAGAGAGGTGACGTGACCCTGGGATGCTTTTTAAAAATAGACAGTTCCGGCTCTATCCCAGTGCTAGTGAATTTGAATCTCTGGAGGTCAGGGCATAGGAATCTGCATTTTTGCAAAATCCCTGAATGCTTGTTACACACAGTCAGGTTCCAGGGCCACTGTCTTGCTGGAGTTACCCCAGCTTCTGGTTGTGCTTGGGCCAGTCCTGGCAGGGAGGCTCAGGATTATCCAGATGAGTGTGACAGGCCCTGGGTGGTGCGGCTATCATATTCCATGTCCTGCTGATGTCTGGAACACGTGCCGTTGCGTGCTCTGGCCTTCTATGGAATGTGGAGTAAAAAAAACCTACTTTTGGCACTATGGCATTTGTCTTTTTTTTTTAAATTTAAGCTTTTTTTTTTTTTTTGAGACGGAGTCTCGCTCTGTCACCCAGGCTGGAGTGCAGTGGCGTGATCTCAGTTCACTGCAACCTTTACCTCCTGGGTTCAAGCGATTCTCCTACCTCAGCCTCCCAAGTATCTGGGACTACAGGCGCGTGCCACTGCACTTGGCTAATTTTTGTATTTTTAGTAGAGACAGGGTTTCACCGTGTTGGCCAGGCTGGTCTTGAACTCCTAACCTCAAGTGATCTACCTGCCTTGGCCTCCCAAAGTGCTGGGATTCCAGGCATGAGCCACTGCGCCCGGCCAAATTTAATTTAATTTTAGTACAGGGTCTCACTCTGTCACCTGGGCTGGAGTGTGGTGGCATTATCACAGCTCACTGCAGCCTCAACTTCCCAGGCTCAAGCAATCCTCCTGCCTTAGCCTCCTGAGTAGCTGGGACTATGCAACCATGCTGGTTGATGTAAAAAAAAAAAATTTTTTTTTTTTTTTTTAATAAATGGGGTCTTGCTGTGTTGCCCCAGCTGGTCTCAAACTCCAGGGCTCAAGTGACCTGGCTGCCTCGGCCTCCCAAAGTGCTGGGATTACAATGGCATTTTAATAGATGTATTTCTTTTTTTTTTCTTTTTTATTTGAGACAGAGTCTTGCTCTGTCACCCTGGCTGGAGTGCAGTGGCACTATCTCTGCTCACTGCAGCTTCCCCTTTCTGGGTTCAAGTGATTCTCCTTCCTCAGTCTCCAGAGTAGCTCAGATAAAGGCGCCCACCACAACACCTGGCTAATTTTTTGTATTTTTAGTAGAAACAGGGTTTTGCCATGTTTGCCAGGCTGGTCTCGAACTCCTGAGCTCAGACGATCAACTTGCCTTAGCCTTCCAAAGTGCTGGGATTACAGGCCTGATGCACCACACCCAGCGGATTTCTGTGTTTCATAAAAATCTAGAGTTGTGTTCTGAGAACCTGGTTGTGTGGTTTGGAACGACACCCTTGGCTGAGCCTCATTTTCCTCACTGGTGGTGGTAGGGGTCCTGCTTAGATCAGCATTTCCCAAATGTGTTTGCAGATCGTTTGTGTTGTAGAGTCACGTGTCGTGTAACCACAAGGGCACGTCTTAATAAATGTGTCAGCAGGCAAGTCCGTCACTGTGTGAAGATCATAGAGTGTACTTACACAGACGTAGATGATAGAGCCTGCGGTACTCCTCGGCTGTATGGGATAGCCCATTGCTCCTAGGTCACAAGCCTGCACAGCCTGTTACTGTCCTGAATACTGTAGGCAGTGTGACACAATGGGAAGTATTCGTGTATGTAAACACAGAGAAGGGACAGTGAAAGGTATTATAATCTTACGGGATCACTGTTGTGGATGTGGTCTGTTGTTGTCTAAAACGTGGTTATGTGACGTGTGACTGATGATATGTGAAGTTCAAGAACAGGCAGAATCAGTGGTGACAGAAATCAGAACAGTGGCTATGTGTGATGGGGCAGGGACTGGGATGCAGGAATTTTCTAGTCGATGTTCTGCATATCTGTCAGTACATACTTGTCAAAACTCTTTGATCTGTATACCAGAGATGTATACCTTTCCACAAAGCCTACAATTCAGTTGAAAAGAAATGATTTAGACTGGGTGCATAGCTCAGACCTCTAGTCTCAGCAGTTAGGGAGGGTTAGGTGGGAGGATTGCTTGAGACTGGGAGTTTCAGACCAGCCTGGGCAACCCAGAGAGACCCTGTCTCTACAAAAAATTTTGTGTGTGTATGGGGGGTTGTTTTTTTAAATGAGATGGAGTCTGGCTCTGTCACCCAGGCTGGAGTGCAGTGGCACCATCTTGGCTCACTGTAACATCCGCCTCCCAAGTTCAAGTGATTCTCCTGCTTCAGCCTCCCAAGTAGCTACAGCCAAAAGCATGTGTCACTATGCCTAGCTATGTATAGAGATGGGTTTTTACCATGTTGGTCAGGCTGGTCTTGAACTTTCAACTTCAAGTGGTCCACACACCTCAACCTCCCAAAGTGCTAGGATTATCGGTATGAGCCATTGTGCCCAGCCTAAAAAATTATTTTAAATTAGCCAGTCATAGTGGCATGCGCCTATAGTCCCAGCTACTTAGGAGTTAGAGATAGGAGGATTGCATGAGTCCAGGAGTTTGAAGTTACACTGAGCTATGATTGTGCCACTGTACTCTAGCTTGGGCGACAGAGTAAGATTGTGTTTCTTTAAAAAAAAAAAAAAAAGTTATGTATATATTTTTCGGAATTCCTAAACACATGTCTGTATATGTCCCAGAATAATGACAGTCCTGTCATGTGTGGGGTCTGTGCTGTCCTGGTGCACTCAGCCTACAGCTGCCACGCCGGCCGCTATTACTGCTAAGAATGTGTGTGTGTGCATGTATGTATATATGCATGTATATATTTTCTATGAAAAATTGTCAGTTTTTGGAACATGTTTTGGCATGACCTTTCTTCTGATCCAGTTCATTAAAAGTCTAACTTGCTGTAGCAGTTGGCTGTATCAATTCAGCACTTTTATTTCTGAAGATCTAAAACCCAGCATTCTGTTCCTTTTCTCCCACCAACAATGTTCCTCTAGAATGGAGGGAAGGGACATGAGTTACTCTTCTCATTTTATGGTTGGGAACCTGGTGGTAAGAGAACTAACGTAGATAATTGACAAAGACAAGAACAGATCCTAAATCACTTGATGGGACAGTCAAGTTTCCCATAGGCTCCACAGGCTGGAGAAGACTCACTTCTCGTCATCTCGGTTTCATCATTGCCACGGGGAGCTCCTGCAGTGTTGCCGCACACCCGGTCGCTCCTCCTTGTTGTTTTTGGTGGCAGGGGCGGGGGGTAGTTTTGAGACAGAGTCTCACATCATTGCCCAGGCTGAGTGCAGTGGCTCAATCTCAGCTCACTGCAACCTCCGCCTCCCGGATTCAAGTGATTCTTGGTCCTCAGCCTCCTGAATAGCTGGGATTACAGGCAGTGCATCACCATGCCCAGCTAATCTGTGTATTTTTAGTTGAAGTGGAGTTTTGCTATATTGGCCAGACTGGTCTCGAACTCCTGGGCTCAAATGATCTGCCTGCCTCTACTTCCCAAAGTGCTGGGATTACAGGCATGAGCCACCGCACCTGGCCCCCAGATTGTTGAAGTCCAGCTGTGTTGGGCATTTTGTATGGTTGTAGGTGCAAAGGGCAAATTGATCTTTATTCTCAAGGTGAATTTTATTTGCCTTTTTTTAAATTTTTCAAACAGGATGTCGGCTATCCAGAATTCCTCAACATGCGTCCATATATGTCCCAGAATAACGGTGATCCTGTCATGTATGGACTCTATGCTGTCCTGGTACACTCGGGCTACAGCTGCCATGCCGGGCACTATTACTGCTATGTGAAGGTGAGAGGCTCGTGTCAGTGCAGCGGCCTCCTGGGCCAGGTTTCAACACCCGCGCACATCCACGTGTGGCCTCTGCAGAACACTGATTTGTGAAAACTAGTACTGTTTTGTAGTTGGATTCGAGTCCTAATTGTTGCATCTGTGCATGGAGTGAAGATGCCTTGACAAAACTGTTGCACGAGAACCTGCACACTCTTAGACTTGCAGTGAGACACAGAAGAGGGGCTGCTTCTGGTGCCCATCCTTAGAACCCTGGCAAAGTCTCGGTGAAAGCCGAATGTAGGAGGGAGATGGCCATGGTGATTAGACTGCCTAAATGTCCTTCAGAAGGGACAGTTCCTGTCTGTTAGGGCACTGGGAAGGAACTGGGACTCAAAGCACATTTTGGGGTTATATTCAGATTTATGAAAATATTATACATTCGGCCGGGTGCGGTGGCTCATGCCTGTAATCCCAGCACTTTGGGAGGCTGAGGTGGGCGGATCACCTGAGGTCAGGAGTTTGAGACCAGCCTGGCCAATATGGTGAAACCCCATCTTTTTTAAAAAAAGAAAAGAAAAGAAAATATTATACATTTTAATGGGAAATCGTTACTGGCTGATTATTAATAGCATCTGGATATGTAGCAACTAATAGATCTTCAGTTCCCTTTCTAACAGTGAGGATAATGGGATGCTTGTTGACTGTTTTGTTTTCTGCAACATCCTTGGCTGCTTCAGGCAAGCAACGGACAGTGGTACCAGATGAACGATTCCTTGGTGCATTCCAGCAACGTCAAGGTGGTTCTGAACCAGCAGGCCTACGTGCTGTTCTATCTGCGGTAATAAACTCATGCCCCCCACGATGAGCTCACCCCCTCTGTTCTGTTCCTTCTTATACTGATGGGCCTCCCTAACCTTTTTTTGTTTGAAGGTAATTGGGAATTCCACTGGAGGGGTTCGTCATGTGTCATGGAGACCGTCCATGGGGAAGGACCCTTTTTAGTAAAAGCCAGAGCCTCAGGAAAGTCAGGACAGGATTCCATGTACCCTAACATTGATGCTATTTTGAATGTAAATGAGAAAGTCACCATTTGTAGTATTGCCCCAAATTAGAGGCACCGCTCCCTGGATGGTGGCCAGCCGGTGTCGCTTCCTCTGTGGGGAAGCAGCTCCGTAGGGGAAGGCAGGGAAGGACATGTTTATGGGGCTGCCACAGAGCTCCCCTGGAAGGACCTTCTCCTGGAGCTGGCTGTTATCACTGACCTGGAGGTTGGAGACCGTGGCAGCTGAGGCATTTTCACCGCTTTATTCATCTCTGCTAAGTGTGGCTGAGGTGTTTGACATGTCTCACTTGCTTTCTGGTGCGTTGAACTTTAATCTTGGAGGAATTCTGACTCCAGTTTGCCCTTGCTCCGCTTATAGTCAGCAGATATCTAGGGCTGATCTCATAGCCTCCCAGTGGTTGAAAGGCAAAGGGAGATTCAAGGAGCGGATAGGACAGGCGGGGTTTCCTCAGGCTGTTTCTGCCTTTGCCCTGCCTTTTAAAACAATATTATGACCTTGACCTTAACTTGCTCTGATTCTCTTCATTTCTGTCATGCCTTCTTAGCTTTAGTAAGAAAATGCCCAACTTGTTTTCTTCCTTTGACAGAATTCCAGGCTCTAAGAAAAGTCCCGAGGGCCCCATCTCCAAGACAGGCTCCTCCTCCCTTCCCAGCCGCCCGAGTGTGTCTCCAGATCACTCCAAGAAGAACCTTGGCAATGGGCTTGTTTGCTCCCCGCTGACTGGAAAGGTATTTATGAAAATGATGGCGACCACGGTGGCTGGTCGTGGTGCTCCCCACAGACCTCCTCATGCTCTGGACGTTGGCCACAGCAGAAGGAGTTTGCAGGCCCTTTGTACTATATTAGTTGATGTTATTTCTTAACTTGGTCATCAGCCGACATTGGGTTTAGAGAAAGAGGAGACGCAAATGAGAAAATCCTGACCCAGCAAATTACAACTGTCATCACAGATCTGTTCTCACAGATCTGTTCTCATGAGAACAGATTTGCAAGTGCCGTGACAGATGTGCCAAACAAACATTCTGTGTGTGCTCCATTTATTTCCTTTATAATGTCAAACAAACTTTATTTTGGGAGACAGTCTCACTCTGTTACCCAGGCTGGAGTGCAGTGGCACAGTCATGGTTCAGGGCAGCCTGAAACTCCTGGATTTAAGCCATCCTCCTACCTCAGCCTCCTTAGTAGTTGGGGCTATCAGTGCACCACCACACCTAGCTAATTTTTAAACTTTATGTGGAGACAGGGTCTCATTGTGTTACCCTGGCTCGTCTCAAACTCCTAAGCCCAAGTGCTTCTCCTGCCTTGGCCTCCCAAAGTGCTAGGGTTATAGGTACCAAGCAAACTCTTCACCTTAAGCATATGGGAAAAAGTACCCTCAAATTTTAACAGAAAATGTGAGTAGTTTGTACCAATGTTAATGTCCTGATTTGGGTAATTCTGCTGTGGTTATATAAGAGAATGTCTTTGTTCTTTGGAAATATACATGGACATATTTAGGGATAAAAGAACATTATGTTTGCAGTTTACTCAGATGGTTCAGAAATAGAAATATGTGTATGTGCATACATACATAGTCATGCATATATACACACACATACATATAGAGAGAGGATGATAAAGGTTATGTGGTTACATGTTAACCATTAGGAACTACCCTCAAAGTTATCTTTGTGTGTATTTGAAATTTTCTGCTAGAACAGTTAAGAATTCAGTTTCACTAGTAGATTAATGAGCAGTCTCCTCATTAGAACACAATGATCATTCAAAGTGCGGTATACCCTCTCTCAATGTCTATTTTTTTTTTTGAGACAGAGTCTTGCTCTGTTGCTCAGGCTGAAGTGCAGTTCACTGAAGCCTCTGCTACTCTGTAGCCTCTACCTCCCGGGTTCAAGTGATTCTCATGCCTCAGCCTCCCAAGTAGCTGGGATTACAGGCGTGAGCTGCTGTTCCTGGCCTGGATGACTGTTTTTGATGGATCATTTTCTTCTGCCTTTAAAATGAAGAGTTGAACCCACACACAGGCAGTCAGGGCCTTTCACAGTCTGCAGAGGTCTTGGTCATTTACATAAATCTGTATTTCCCATCACATTAAAGAAAACAGAAGCTGAAATTAGAAGCATTAGAATTGAAGTAGCTGTGAAATACATGATCTAATTGCAACGTTGTGGTCACTGTAGCCCAGACTAAGAAGTTAGGAAGCAGCCTGGGGCAGGTGCTGTGACTCATGTCTTTCATTCCAACACTTTGGGAGGCCTATGTGGGAAGATCATTTGATCCCAGAAGTTTGAGACCAACCTGGGCAACATGGCAAAACACTGTCTCTACTAAAAATACAAAAGTTAGCCAGGTGTGGTGGCATGTGCTTATAGTCCCAGCTACTCAGGAGGCTGAGGTGGGAGGATCACTTGAGCCAGAGATTAAGGCTGCAGTGAGTCACACCACTCTACACCAGCCTGGGCAACAGAAAGAGACCCTGTCTCAAAACAGATTTAAAAAGCAGCCTGTACAACACAGATCACCATCTCCACAGAGAATATTCAGTGAGCTGATGTGGGAGGATCACGTGAGCCTGGGAGTTTGAGGCTCTCGGCAGTGAGCCATGATCACGCTGGTGAACTCCAGGCAAGGTGACAGAGTGAGACCTTGTCTCAAAAAAAAAAAGAAAAGGGAGGCCAGGCACTGTGGCTCACACCTGGAATCCCAGCACTTTGGGAGGCCAAGGCGGATGGATCATTTGCGGTCAGGAGTTCAAGACCAGCTTGGCCAACATGGTGAGACCCTATCTCTACTAAAAATGCAAAAATTAGCTAGGCGTGGTGGCGCACACCTGTAATCCGAGCTACTCAAGAGGCTGGGGTAGGAGAATCACTTGAACCTGAGAGGTGGAGGTTACAGTGAGCTGACATCATGCCACTGCACTCCAGTCTGGGTGACAGAGCGGGACTCCATCTCAAAAAAAAAAAAAAGAAGCAGTCTGGGCAACATAGAAAGACCCCCATCTCCAAGAAAAGTACAAAAATTAGCCAGGTGTGTTGGTGCATATCTGTGGTCCCAGCTGCTTGGGAGGTTGAGGCAGGAGGATTGCTTAAGCACAGGAGGTCAAGGCTGTAGTGAGCCATCGTTGTGCCACTGCACTTCAGCCTGGACAACAGAATGACACCCTGTCTCAAAAAAAGTACAAAGGAAACCTCATGTGTCACAGTAACTCCACAGGCAGAGTGATGCCCGAGGCGGAAGGTCTGCTTCAGGAGAGTCCCTGTGTCAGGCACATCTGCAGTGCTACTCCCTGACCATTAGCATTTTCATGACAAATGTCATTTTCCAAATACACTGCAATTGAACAAGAGTCGTTTTACTCTAAATGACATGGTGCAAGTCCTGATGTGTACAGAAATGTCCAGCTAGTGAAAAGGCTTTGCAGTGCCATGGAAAGATGAATTCCTTTTAGAAGACATTAATAAAGAATATAATGAGCAAAACAAAACTCAGGAGAAAATAGAAGTATGTTCTTATTAAACCTCTGGGAGAGGGAAGAAGACTTTATATGCTTAAAACTGAAGGAGAAAATATAGAAAAATTACAAATTGATTAAGATTGACATTTTTGTACATAAATTATTACAAATACAAATGAAACAATAACACCTTTTAAATATTTTGGACAAAAGGTTAGCATTTGTAAACACAAGAACGCATTTAAATGACGATCACCCTAGTGCATGTGCAGAGAATACGAATGTTAAAGTGGTCATGGCCAAAGCAGTGTCAGATCAGCAAATGTTTTGCAAAATGTATGTTGCTGGAGTATAGTCAATGCAGTTTGGCAGTACACATCAGGTTTCATGAAAATATTCATAGCCTCGTAATTCCATTTCTGGAAAATTAGCATGGCGTACTAAGCACAGGAAAAGCTCAAAAAAATATTTTTTAAGCACTGACTGCATACCAGACCGTTGAGTTGCTGGTGAGGGCTGCAGCAGGAACAGAAGAGGCACAGGTACAGCCTCATGGTAAAGCAGGGGAGGCGGGCCTTCAGCATCTGCACGGAGAATAACAAGTTACTTCCATGCAGTTGTAATATGTGCTCTGAAGGATAACAGATAGACACACATACACTGTACTGTATTGTTAATTTCAACAGTTGGAGACTATAGCTTATATAAATTAACCATACAGTGAGATGGTTGCCAGTAAAACATGAAAGACGGGCCTGCAGTCAGGTTGCATTGCTCAGGGCTGTAATCCCAGTACTTTTGAGAGGCCAGGATGGAAGGACTGCTTGAGCTCAGGAGTTCGAGGGTGCCAGCCAGGGCAACATAGGAAGACCCCCATCTCTACAAAATAAATAAAAAGTATTCCGGTGTGGTGGCCTACTCCCGATAGTCACAACTACTTGGGCAGCTGACGTGGGAGGATCTCTGGAGTCCAGAAGGTTGAGGCTGCAGCCTGGGCGACAGAGCAAGACCCTGTCTTAAACACATTTATTGAGAGTTATAGTCTATAAAAATGCTTGCGATAATAGCATTAAGATAAAACTGGGATGTAACTCTGCAGGCCAGAGCCATTCGGAAGAAAAGACCAGAAGAAAGCACTAGTGCGTGGATGCATGGTTGTGTTTAAGTGGTAGAACTTTGCTAAATTGTTTTCCCTTATACTTAGTTCTCTTTCTCAAATCTTGGAAAATGTACTGCTTTCATAGTAAAGATGGCCATGAAGATATATATTCAGGTCAGGTGTGGTGGTTCACACCTGTAATCCCAGCACTTCTAGAGGCTGAGGCAGATGGATTGCTTGAGGTCAGGAATTCGAGATGAGCCTGGTCAACGTGGCAAAACCCCATCTCTGCCAAAAATACAAAAATTTGCCTGGTGTGGTGGCACACGCCTGTAGTCCCAGTTCTTTGGGGTGTCACGAAACACCAGAATTGTTCAGAGAAGCCAAAGTGTCTTTACCAAGTGTCCACATAAATAGTTTATCTTGAACTTGCCAGTCAGAGGTCATGCCTGCTACTGAGATACGCTGTGGCCTTGTGAAAGCGTGGCCCAGCTGGGACTTCCTCAGTTGTGTTTTCTGCTTTGCTCTCCTTCAGCGACAAGACTCCGGGACGATGAAGAAGCTGCACACCACTGACGAGATTGGGGTGCCTGTTTCCAGGAGTGGCCCCATGGTGGGCCTGAAGTCCCAGAACGGCTATGTTCTTCCAAAGCTGTCCTCAGGGTCCCCTTCCCCTAAACTCTCCCAGACACCCACACACATGCCGACCCTCCTAGATGACCCTGGGAAGAAGGTGAAGAAGCCAGCTCCTCCACAGCCCTCTTCCCCGTCCCCCAGAACTGCTCAGGGGCCACCTGCTACCAGCAACTCGAGTAGCAGCAGATCTGGGATCCAAAGTCAGGGCTCCTGGGACAGCAGGGATGGTGTCCTCTCTACCTCACCTAAGCTCCGGGCTGCAGCCACTGCCAACGGGCATGGGTTGAAGGGGAACGACGAGAGCGCTGGCCTCGAGAGGAGGGGCTCCAGCAGCTCCAGCCCAGAGCACTCTGTCAGCAGTGACTCCTCCAAGGTCCCGCAGGCCTCCAGGAGTGGAGCTGCCCGTCTCTGCGATTCTCAGGAAAGAAATTGTTGCACTGCTGGTCACTCCAAAATGCCGCCCAATGGAGTGGACCCGAAGACGGTAAAACTGAAGTCTCCTGTCCTGAGCAGTGCTGCTGCCGAGCCACCGAGCACCATGTCTCCTCCGCCAGCCAAAAAACTGGCCCTTTCTGCCAAGAAGGTGGGTGTGCGGGGGTCTCACCACTGCTGTGTATCCAGAGAGCTAGAAGAATTGGTTGGTTGGTTGTGGATTGGAGGGAGCGGGAATGTTGTCTGGGGGCTTTGGCCTCTGTCATGTCAGAGGAACAAGGTGTCTTAGTCATTCCCAGCCGTTTGCAGTTACAGAAGGGCTGTCGGAGTGCAGGCAGTGGGGTGTTGAAGGGGGCCCTGATCTGGTGACGCTCATGTGGCCCATGGAGGTTTGGGCAAGGTAGCAGTCCCTGTTTTCGCTGTAGGTAGAAGATCCTGAGTGGACCCAAGGGAGGGCGGGCCCCACCAGGGCGCATCCCTAGCAGGGGTGGGGCAGGCAGGGAGCCAGAGCCCCAGTGGGTGTGCAGCACCTCTACAGTGGGAAGCTCAGAAGGCAGCCGTGGCACGAGGATGTGATTGTTACGCTGAGATCTTTGTTTAAATTTTCTTCCTTTTTTTGTTTCTAACCAAAAATACTTTCTGGTTCTTCTTCTGCCATTCCCCTGCCCCTCACCTCCTGTTTTTGTCTTCTGTCCTCTCATCTTTCTTTCTGGGCTCTTTTGTTTTTATTTTCATTTTTTGTTACTTTTGTTTTCCCTCTTCACACACGGAAACCTTTTTTAGACCACCAAGTTTTTATTTATGTCAATAACTGCAGGCCAGCACCCTGTGGAGGGCGACCGGCAATGACCTCCGTCCGCCTCCCCCCTCACCGTCCTCCGACCTCACCCACCCCATGAAAACCTCTCACCCTGTCGTCGCCTCCGCTTGGCCTGTCGGTAGAGCCAGGTGAGCTTCGGGTGGGACTGTCTGGGTGCCAACTGACTCTTTCTGTGGTTGCGTGTGCTTGGCTGGTGAGGAGTTGACGGATCACCAGCCTCACGGGATGGACAGAGTATTGGGGCAGCCAGGAGGTACGGGGGGCGTCACCGACCAAAGTCCCCCTTTCCTGTGTTCTCCTGTGGTAAAGGAGCTTCGGGTGGTGAAGGCAGTTCAGCCTCCACAGTCCTGATGTCTTAGTTCTGTCTTTGTTGATGGTCTGTCTGTGACATCCATGTGGTGATGTGGTGTGCTGGGGGCTGACCCTGTAGCCCTACCAGCCCCATGACAGTCCTTCCCCGTCGAAGAGAAGAGCAAGGTGAGGCCTTCACGAGAGGCCTTGAGTGAGCTTAGAGTCCCTGGTGTTTTTTCTGGGGCGTCTTGCCTGCTGGCATCACGTGGCTGAGCACTGCTTCGGGGCTCAAGTTCCTCTGCAGACCCCTGCCGAAGATGCAGCCCCTTCCCTCTGCTGGAGGCCCTGGTCTGCAGGGGCTGCTTGTGTCCTGAGGTGCCTTGAGTGGCAGGAAGTTGAGAGTCAATGGTAAATGGCTGTCTAGAAGCCAGTGGGGGTGGGAAAGGAAGCAGTGAAAGATGGGGTGAGCCCTGAGGTGGCCCACAGTGTCTAGGGTGGTGGCCTTGTCACCGGGTTCCATTTGCATGAACCTCCAGTGCTGCATGCGGGCGAGGTGTGACTGCATCGCCCATAGCCTCTGCCTTACCCTCTCTTTTTCACACACATGCACAAGCACACCTCTACCCTATACCTGGCGTGAGATTGTGTACGCAGGAGGCCCTTAAGTTTTTGGGTGTTTTTGTTTCTTGTTTTATATGCATTTTTGGAAAAGGTTCTAGAAGACACTTTGAGGAATCAAATGCTGTGCAGCTGGCGTGGTCTTTACGGTTTATCCTTGTTTGGATGATGACGATGGGGGTCCTTTGTACCTCAGGAGCCCTGGCGGTGGGCTTTCTGGTCACAGCTCATTGACAGATGAGAACATGGTGGTTCAGAGTGGGAGGTTAACTTTTAGGGACACATAGCTGGCAAGAGGGAGCCCCAAGAGTCTCACTGGGTTCGGCACTAGATCCTGTCCCGGACACGCCTCGCTCGTGACTGCTCTGTGCATCTGTGTCCCGGCTTCCAGTAGTGGAAGCCTCATTAGGCCAACGCTTGCTTTCCTGATGAGGCTCTTTTCCTGCCTCAGGATACCCTGAGACTTTCCTAGGTAGGAAAATAAGTCCTCACATACTGTTTAATGAACGCTTCCTCCCTTAACACATTTGTATTAAAGACTAAAAACGTTAAGAGCTCACCAAAGTACTTCAGCTGCTTGATGACAAGAAACCAAGGCATGCAACAGTTCTTACTAACTTTGCCTTTTTTGAGATGGAGTCTGGCTCTGTCACCCAGGCTGGAGTGCAGGGACGTGATCTCGGCTCACTGCAACCTCCACCTCCTGGATTCAAGCGATTCTCCTGCCTCAGCCTCCCGAGTAGCTGGAATTACAGGCGTGCACCACCACACCCAGCTAATTTTTGTATTTTTAGTAGAGTTGGGTTTTCACCATCTTGGTCAGGCTGGTCTCAAACTCCTGACCTCCTTGGCCTCCCAAAGTGCTGGGATCACAAGCGTGAGCCGCCGTGCCCAGCCATTTTTTTTTTAAAGATCTGGGGCAACTGTGCAGCATGTGCAGGTTTGCTATAGAGGTGCCATCCACCACCTAGGTAACTGCTTTTAAACAGATGGTGAATTAATTGTTAGCCTTCTTTCAGATGTATGTGTAACTTAATGTGTATCCGAAACCTACAAGGCAAAAGCCTTTACAGGTTTCTAGGTGAAAGGGAGGGGAGTGAGGGTGGACAGAAGGAACAGCTCTGCTGGATCTTTCAGAACATCCCCTCCCTCTTTCCTGGCTGTCCCCACAGGGCTGTGTCACCTGCTCCCCAATCATCCAGCTGCCTGCAGCCCCCCTTTAGCCCCCACCCCACATTGCTGTCCAGTACCCCCAAACCCCCAGGGACGTCAGAACCACGGAGCGGCTCCTCCATCTCGACGGCCCTGCCTCAGGTCAATGGGGACCTCGTGTCCCTTCCACACCAGCTGCCAGAGGCCAGCGAGCCCCCCTGGAGCCCCTCTGAGAAGAGGAAAAAGACCCTTGTGGGAGAGTTCCAGAGGCCGGGCTCAGAGACGTGCCTCTCACAGCATATCAAGGAGGCCACTGCATCTTCCCACCGGAAGAGGAAGAGGAAGAAGAGGAAGCACCCAGAGGACACAGCTGCCACCACCCTGCAGGAGGGGCAGACACACAGACAGTCTGGGAGCCCCACGCACAGGAGGGAGGGCCAGGCACAGCTGCCCGCTGTCAGATGGCAGGAAGATGGCACACGGCCACAGGTGGACCACCAGCAGGTGGCATGTGTTCCCGACAGCCACCACCCAAGCAGCAGGAAGCGGAGGAGGAAGGGAGCAGAGGGTCTTGGTGAAGAAGGCGGCCTGCACCAGGACCCACCTTGGCACAGGTAAGGGCAGGAGCAAGGTGGCACCTGTGCACCTCTGCTGAGAAACAAAGCAGAACCACAAAATCTACCCCCACGTAGGTATGGTCTGGAAATGTAGTTCACTTATCTGCTCATGTGATTTTCTAAAAGGTGGATATATGATAAAATGTCTTCTCTGGCCAGGTGCAGTGGCTTACATCTGTAATCCTAACACTTTGGGAGGCTGAAGCGGGCGAATCCCTTGAACCCAGGAGTTTGAGACCTGCTTGGGCAACATGGCAAAGCCCTGTCTCTACCAAAAACAATAATTGGTTGGTCATGGTGGCATGTGCCTGTCGTCCCAGCTACTCAGGAGGCGGAGGTGGGAGAATGGCTTGAGCCCAGGAGGCGGAGGTTGCAGTGAGTTGAGATTGCATCACTACACTACAGCCTGGGTGACAGCCAGACTCTGTCTCAAAAAAAAAAAAAAAAAAATCTCCTCTGATAAATACCAGTGGATTGGTCCTTGAAATGACAGTGGTGTGGACAGTAGTGTCCATCATTGTATGAGCAGGGCTGTCCACGAATACTGGGTTAGGTGATCCCTGGCCGGGGTAGGCTCTGCAGTCATATCAGGTCCCAGGCAGCCTGCACATTGGCTTTGGCAGGCTTGGCTCAGTTAGGATGGGAAATGTGGCTGTGTGTAGAGCATCCGCTAATGCGTGTAGAAGAATGTTACAGGGAGCCCTGTGCACTGGGTCACAGCTGAGGTGGCATCTTCTCCATGCTGCCGGCAGGTGTCTGTGAGCTCCCTGGGTCACAGCTGGGATGGCGACCTCTCCATCCTGCAGGTGGGGTGGGTGTAAGCTCCTGCTTCCCTTCCAACTTGCTCAGAGCTGACTGTTGCCTCTCACTTCCCAGCAGCTGCTCTCGCATGGGTGACGGTGACCCAGAGGCCATGGAAGAGTCTCCAAGGAAAAAGAAAAAGAAAAAAAGAAAGCAGGAGCCACAGCAGGCAGTAGAAGAGGACAGACATTGCGAAGACCCGAGGAGTGCCAAGTCCCAAGACGTTGCTGTCCCTGAGTCCAGCAGCCATGCGCCGTCTGTGAATGGCTGGTGTCCTGGGGACCACATGGGTATGCATTTGGGCGAGGGGGGGTGTTGGTGAGCTTACAGGCTGAGAGCAGTACCTACTGTGTTTGAGCTTGGGGGAGGGTCTGGGAGAAGATGTGGAGGATCCTGCCAACCTTCAGCCACAACCCCCGAGTCTGTTCCCTTGGGTGATGGGGTCAAAGCTTCCTTACATGTCAAAGCATTTGACTGAAACGACCCATGGGAGAGGTTACAGTGCACATGAACTTTAGAACATTCTGTGACTACCGTGGGTCTTCCGATTCAAAGCTGTTCCTGTCTACAGCTTCCCATGGAATGACTCCCTGAACTCCCAGCCTGAGTTTTTTTCTGTGACGCTTGAATTTAGAAGGGTGGGGTTCAAAAGTTAATTCTCCTCTACCTCTATGTAGTTGGGCCTTTCAGAACATAGCATGGTGCTCTTGGTGTTGGGGACCTGTGTGCTGTGGCTGTGCTTGGGCACCACCCCCAGCTGGAGGGTCTTTTGTTTTCTTTAGGACTTGGTCGGGCATGCCTTGGCAGGCACCCACCACAGAACACATTTGTTAAGTGAAGGGTAGAGAACGTCCTGGCGGCTTGGTATGGGGGAACGAGCTTGAGTGAGGCCTCCTCTGTGGTCTGGAAGATCCGATTATGGCAGTGCATCTGGGGGCCAACAGAACCCTGAATCAGGAGACTGATTTGTATTAATCCAACTCTTAAGAAAGGAATTTATCGATAAAAATGAAATGGTATGGAATAGATTGTGGAACACGGGCGCGAGCTGGCGCCGACTGTGGTGCTGGCCAGCATGCTGTCAGAAGCGTTGCACTGAGGCGACGGGTGGGGGTAAAGAAGAGGCAGGCCTTCAAGTGACAGCGACACAAGATGGCAGCCACCACAGGCTCGGACAGTTTATGAAAACCAAATATACAGCCTTAAAATAGAATGTGGCCTTAAATACCAAGAAGCACCCCCCTTTGTAAGATTTGTAACAAAAATTAATACGAATGGAGTTAATAGTTCTAATGGAGTGGTGGACCCAAGAGTCATATCAGTGCTAGCAAAATGGCAGAATTCATATAGCATCAATATTGTCCTACAAGAGCTTCAGCGCCTAATGATGTCTAAAGAAAATACGAAATTCCCTCAGCTGCCTGAAGGTCAGTGTTACAGCAATTAATCAAAAAGAAAAACCACAGGCCTTCCCCCCCCCCCATTAGATTTAAGCAGTCATTTTCCACAGTAGTAAATTTTCTAGGTACACCTTGTAGACCTCAAAGTACTGGAAAGGAAGCTCTCATTCAAAGGACACTTTTTTTGAGACGGAGTTTCGCTCTTGTTACCCAGGCTGGAGTGCAATGGTGTGATCTTGGCTCACCGCAACCTCCGCCTCTGGGGTTCAGGCAATTCTCCTGCTTCAGCCTTCCGAGTAGCTGGGATTACAGGCGTGCGCCACCACGACCAGCTAATTTTTTATATTTTTAGTAGAGATGGGGTTTCACCTTGTTGACCAGGATGGTCTTGATCTCTTGACCTCATGATCCACCCACCTCAGCCTCCCGAAGTACTGGGATTACAGGCTTGAGCCACCGTGCCTGACAAGGAAATTTATCTCAAGATACTGTAAATGATACTAACTTCTTGTCCTTTTGAAATACGTAACTTGTGCTATAACAAAAGAAAACGTTGCACCAATATTGTGCCTGAGCTGTGCTCTGTGCTGCCCTCGCAGCAAAGCGGAGTTGGCTTGTTAGTGCAGGAATTTGAGGGACATCACTTGAGCACTTGCGGTATGCCCGGGTCCATGCCGGGTGCATGCCAGGTGCTGGCTGTACATCCTGAGCAGTGCTCCCTGGGCCCTCAGGACTCCCTGCCAGAGGCAGAACCGCACAGTGATGGTTCATGCTCAGCAGGCAGGCACTGGGGGCTGCATGGGCTCTGTGGGAGAGTGCCTGGCCCCATCCACCCTCTGTACTGTGCACCAAGGAGAGTGGCTAAATGGGCAGGGTACCAGCCCCAAAGGCAGGAGGCGCAGCACGTTGGCACCAGGCACACTGCTCTGCGTGGCCAGGTCCCTGAACTGTGTGGACAAGAGGGAGCCATGGATGCTGTTGTGCCAGGGCAGAGGACACTTAGTCTGGAGGTGATTGAGAATTGGAGGCAGGGAGAGGCGAGGTCATTAGCTTCCTGCTAACAGGCAGGGCTCTTGCAAGCTCTCTGGAGATGCACTCTTCACAACAACCCCTTCACACAGCACCCTGCAGGTCATTTGTATGAAGGAAGGTGAGTTTATTCCAGGGGCTTTGTGGCTGGCTGGGCAGAGGACTAGTTCAGAAACGGTCTCTACAACCCATTGAGGGTGCTGAGTGCTGTCCTTGTCCCGACGTGCATGGTGGACCTGCACAGCATTGCTGATGGGGACTAGGTTCCCCCTGGACAGGGCTCAGGTCGGGGTCCCCATGGCAGCAGCCAAGCTTGGCCGTTCCCTTCATCTCTGTGGCCATTCAGGTGTCGGGCTGGTCCTGGGGCCCAGGGCCTCTCCCTTAGGTGAAGTGGAGTCCATTTGGATCTGGTTTTCTTCCCTCCCTCTGACAGACTGAGAACTTACACTGCTGGTTAAGGAGGGTTTGGAGGGTTTTTTTGCTTCCAAGCTTTTTGTTATTTTGCATGTTTTCTTTTTCATGAATTGACTTGGACAACAGCCTTCTCTGTTTCATCAGAACTTTAGTAAATAAGCATTTAGGCTGGGCACCTAATGCACACTCACTCACACCTGTGTCTGCCTGGTAGTTCTGACCTGGGATGGCAAGGTGTCGGCGGTTAGCCAGGATGCTATTGAAGAGAGCAGACTGGCCCGGACCCAGACCGTGGTTGATGACTGGGACAACGAGGCAGAACATGGCTCATGCCTATAATCCCAGCACTTTGGGAGGCCAGTGCAGGAGAATCACTTGAGTCCTCAGGAGTTTGAAACCAGCCTGGGCAACATAGTGAGACCCTATCTTAGAAGAAGGAAAAAAGAGATAAGCGGTTGTTTCCCTGGTGGGTTATTTTCAATGTTGATAAATGTTTCTTGGCTGCTCTGATTGCAGGGCTGGACCCAGCCCCTCCTGTGTCTTGGAATGGAGAGCAAGAGTCTGATGTGGTACAGGAACTGCTCAAATACTCATCGGATAAAGCTTACGGGAGAAAAGGTACTGGCTTTGAGACAGCACTTGTTGGCCCTTGATTGGTTTATTCTGGATGAGGGAAGGTGTGGAATGGACCCTAGTGTACTGTGAGTGTGGAGGGCGGGCATCACTTGAGAGTAGGAAGAAGAACCTCAGCGCTTGCTGGAATCCTCTTTAAACCCTCAGCTGTGACATGAAGGTGGCTTCCATCCGTGCAGGATTCAGAACAGCTGCTTCTGAGGGTTGGGCAGGGTGAGGAGCCCAACACATGCTGGTCTTGGGTAGGACACGGGCAGAGTGGCAAAGCTCTTCCAATGTAGGCAGTGTCGCTTCTTACTTGGAGCAGGATTTTATTCAGACTTCAAGGCAGAACATGAAATCCTTGTTCCTCAGACGAGGTCATGGGTTTAGAGAGAACTGAACTGTGCGGTCATGGGTTAGGGTTTAGCTGAGAGGGTATCCAGCTGTCCTCCTCTTGTCCTTCTGTTCGCCACAAGATGGCGCTCAAAATTGTTGACTGACTGTGAGTATAGACTAGTCTTGTTGGTAAATGACACTCTTGAAGTGAAGCCACAGGGTACCTACGAACCTGCACGCTCGCTCACACCTGTGTCTGCCTGGTAGTTCTGACCTGGGATGGCAAGGTGTCGGCGGTTAGCCAGGATGCTATTGAAGAGAGCAGACTGGCCCGGACCCATACCGTGATTGACAACTGGGACGAAGAGTTTGACAGAGGGAAGGTATGATGCTTAATGGTGCCCACAGGCCTGAGGCAGCAGGGTGGCGTGTCTCAGCTTAGGGCCGGGGCAGGGAACTGCATGTGACCAGGGCAGTTGGAGGTGGCAGCAGCGGTGTGAAGCAGCTGAGCATAAGAGCCAGGCTGCCCAGGCCTGTCTGGGCGGGTGGCCGTGGACAGGGCATACATCCTCGCAGCTTCTGCAGCTTTGTCAGTAGAGGGGGACAGCAGGGTGCCGTGCGAAGGGGTAGTTGTGAAGAGTGGGTCTCCAGAGAGCTCTCGAGAGCCCTGCCTGTTCGCAGGAAGCTGGTGAACTGCATGGAGCCCCATGAGCCAGGAAAGAACCTTTTTGGGAACTGTGATACCTGTGATTCTTGGTCTAGGAAAAGAAAATTAAAAAATATAAGAGAGAGAAGAGGAGAAACTTCAATGCCTTCCAGAAACTTCAGACTCGACGGAACTTTTGGTCCGTGACTCACCCAGCAAAGGCTGCCAGTCTCAGCTACCGCCGCTGACAGCACCGCTGTGGAAGAGGTCGGTTCCTAGGGGGTGGGCATGAGGGTGGGGGGGCCATGTGGGGGGGTTTGTGTGTATGTGGGGGGGGGTTGTGTATAGAGGGTGTGGTGGGGTGTGTCGTGTGTGTGTTTGTGTGTGATGTATGTGGGCTGTGTATCTGGCACGTGTATGTTAGGTGGTGTGTATCTGATGTAGGTGCATCTGTGGTATGTGTCCTAGTCACTTGGAGAAAAGTGTGTGTGGGATATATGTGTATAAGGGGGTGCCTGTAGTGTGTGCGCATTTGTGGTGTGTGTCCTGGTCACTTGCAGAAGGGTGTGTGGGTTGTGTGTGCAATATGTGTGAGATATGCGGTGTGTGTATATCTGGCGTGTGTCCCCTCACTTGCCAAAGGGTGTGTAGAATGTGGGGTGTGTATATCTGGCATGTCCTGGTCACTTGGAAGAAAGGTGTGTGGGGTTTGCCGGCTGCATCGAGGTGCTGTGCCTTGGGTTCCTGGGTTGGACCCACACCGAGGGTGGCCATGGGAAGATGTCCTGTTTCTCACCGTCAGGACTGCTATGCTTTGTTCTGCAGCCTCCTGGAGACAAGGCGTCCCTTCCTGGAACCTGTCCATGTGGACCTGAGGGAGCCTTCTGTGTGGGCTCTGCTGCCATGGTAGGAGCTCTCCCAGTATCAGTGTCCACAGACGACCCGATGTAGAGCCTTTGAGGCTTCTCTAGATTGGGACCTCTGGTGACATTTCCAACCAGTCCTGCAAGAGAAGCTCCAGTGTGTGGGGGGAGCAGAGGTGGCCGTACGCCTGCTAGACATCTGCGTCGGGCTGCGTGATCTCATGTTCATGGACGGTGTCTGTGCTGACAGAGGCTCCTGTCCCTAGTTGGGGCTATCGAGAGAGTGGGGGATGATGGCCACTCGTCTCCCAGGTGGCCTCCCGGTGCGTGGCTGGTTGCTCTTGGTGAGCCGTTCCTTGCTCCTTGGGGCTGGCGATACCGTTGTGTCTGAGCCTGCCCTCCCTGCTTCCTTGGTGGGGCCCCTTTGTCTTTTGGCCTTACCTGTCCTTAGAAAGGAAGAGCCCTGAGGCCAACCCCAGCCAGCCACCTCTCCCTTTTATGGAACTCAAGAGGGTGACGCTGCTGTGCAGCCCTTCCTTGTGAGTAACTCTTGACTGTCCTGCAGAGCAGAGGCTGTCTGGGGTCCGGGGAGCCCTTGATATTACCTGCAAATACATCTGCTTTCAAGGCCACTGTCGATTCTGAGACGGCTGTGCTGTGGCTTCCTTCGCAGATGCAATAACCCACAGGTCTTCACTGAGGTGGGGGCCTTGGGGGAGAATTCTCCATTTATTTTACTACTTAATACAAAACATTTATTTTTGACCAGGCCCGTGGCTTCCATTAGCAATATATTTCCTTTCCCAGATATGCAAATAGTGGCTTTGTTTGCCCAATTTTGTGAGTGCTTTGGAATTTAAATGATTGTATAACTCAAGAAGATTACTTTTCTATCTTGCTCAAGCTGTGCCTGCCAACTTGTAATTAAATAAATATGGGAAATCCTCAGAGAAGGGGATGTTTTCAAGAAAAAGATGCCCTCATAGGAGTGGGAAGCGTGAAGGTGACAATGAACACCCTTCCTTGCCGGGTCTCTCCCTGGCGTTTTCCCCCGGCGTCATCGCAGCTGGAGATGGACTTGGCGTTGGACTCAGAGCTGCTTCGGTGTGGCTCTGCGGGGCCGGAGGCGTCCTGCCGTCTGGGGGGCTGCCTCGCTGTCTGCATCCCCTCTTCCTGGGGCAGGTTTGCTTCCTGCCTCCGTGCTTGAGACCTGGGTGGTTACTGGTTGTAGAAAGAATTGCCTTTTTAATAAGGGAAGATACATTTATTTTTTCCATGTGGGTGGGTGGCTCTTTTTGGATTTTCTTCCGCTTTTTACATTTCTGTTTTTAGAAAGGTGGGAGAGAATCATGCTCCTGTGTGGCTGCCTCTGTCCCAGCAGCAGCGAGTGGAGGCTTGCCCTGACCGGGTCAGGGTGTCCTCTGCGCTCTCCTGTGGACCAGTCTCTGAATGTTCAAAGATGAGGGCCTGGCTTCCACGCTCTGGCTTTTGTAACTTACCTGGGAGGGAAAGCACGTGCCTTCGTGGGCAGGGTGTGTTCCTCTTCCTCTCAGGTGTTGACTTGCATTCCAATGTGAACTGTTTCCTCTGCCATGTGTTCTGTGTGATGTTCTGTAGTTGAAAATTAGTTGTCTGCTAGCACAGAATCTATCTCCTGCCTTTCTCTCCCTTCTCTCCTCCAAATCAGTCTCTTCCCTTCTCCACTAGAAACTGTAAAACCATTTCCTGAGGAACATACGTTGGTTAACTCTTGGGCAGTGGTGAGCACGAGATGACTTCTGCAGCCTTTATCACTGTTGGATGCAGTCCCGTCCCTTCCCTCCACAGGAGCCATCAGCCAGATGGGGGGGAAAGATGAGGCCCAGTAAACGAGCTCAGCTTCTAGGTGATGTGCACGTATGGAGGTAGATGTCAGTAAGTCACGCCTTTGTCGTAGCAGTCAACTTGATTGACTTAGGATCTGGGTCTATTGAGTTTCGTGCTTGGAAATGGAGCCGGAGGGAGTGGGGCCTGTGCACAGCGCTGCCTCTCCCGGGTCCTTTCTCTCACCTGCCCCGCATCCTGGTTGCATGGCTGCACCTGTCTGTGTGCTGCACCTCCTCTCCAGGGGCCTGGGGAGTCCCACATGTTGCCAAGATCTTGGTGCAATAAAATCCTGTGTTTTTGTGAGTCCTGTATCTTTGTTTTTTCCCTTGATTTTTAAAAAGGTAACTCCCAACCAGGGTCTCGCTGATTCCACCTGTTCTGGAAGTTGAAGTTGGGCTAGGAGGGGCAGGTAGGTCCCCGCACAGAGTCCAGTGACCAGGAGGTTACATTTGGTGAGAGCAGCCCTGGTGAATGGGGTGACCAGGAGACTGAACCTTGGGCACAGGTGGGTGGTGGTGCAGGGGGTCCAGTCATGAATGCTCTCCTCAGCTCTGTGACTTGTGTGTGTGGCTCGTTACCTCCTCCTCCTCGAGCAACTTGGAAACCTCCACCCCAGGGTGTCCACCAGAGGATGTCATGTCTTCACTTCTCCCTAGGGGTTTGGCTGGACACCCCAAAATGAGGACAACCAAGTAAGAAGATGGGAGGTAAGGCAGCTCTTGGACCCAAACCAAAGGGGTTGCAGAGGGTGGGGCACACTGTTGACCCAGAGGTCTTGTCTGAAGGCATTTGCATCATAGCCTGGGCAGCGGTTGAGGGGTTCTGAGACTCGGAGAGGTGGTGACCTGACACCAGTGCCGGGCACAGTGGTGACACGGGCGAGACTGGTTTTTCCATTCTGTTTTGGTTTGAGACAAAGTCTTGCTCTATCACCCAGGCTGGAGTGCAGTGGCACGATCTCAGCTCACTGCAACCTCCACCTTCCAGGTTCAAGCTATTCTTCTGCCTCAGCCTCCTGCATAGCTGTCATTACAGGTGTACACCACCATGCCCAACCAATTTTTGTATTTTTAGTGGAGATGGTTTCACCATGTTGGCCAGCCTGGTCTCAATCTCCTGACATAGCGGTCCGTCAGTTTTTCCATTCTTAACTGCTGTTTCCCACATACTAGGGCTGCTTCTGGGTGTGTAAAGGTGAACACACTGATGTGGTCTCACAGGCGGCGGGCAGGTCCACGGGCAGGACTGACGGCTCCAGGGCAGGGCGGGTGCTGTTAGGGAGATACAGGGAGGCCACGAGGATCCTGTGACGAGTTCTGCCTGAAGCACCATGGGGTGAGGTGACATTCAGAAAGAGGGTTGGATGTGGGAGCTGGCTAGCGGGACTCGGCTGGTAACTAAGTCAGGTGCAAAAGTGCAGGGCAGATTTTGGTTGACAAGAAGCGTCTGCCATTTGTCTGATGTGCTTTCTAGACTCCTGAGGCTGAAAGTGGATTCCAGGCTGCCTGATGGCCTGACAGGCTGCAAGTAGAGCTCAGGGGACAGCGGGTGAGGATGACCAGACCACCAGGCTGGCCAAGAAGTGGCCGAGGCTGGAGCTAAGAGATTGACAATAGTAGCAGAGGCTAGAAGTGGGGTCAGTTGGGTATTTGGGAGAAGAGGCGAGGTGACAGATATATGGTGGAAGGTTCTGGGTGGAGTTTAAGATGATTTCTGCTAGGGTGGGCAGTTGAGTTCAGAGGCCAAGTAGTAGAGAAGCAGGTGGCCCACTGATGGTTTCAGGAAGGCCTTTAGGTGGCAAGCGATTCAGTCTGACATAGTTGACATGTTACCAGAACAGGGAACCCAGGAAGAATCATAGGCATGGGAAGTAGGCAGTGGGTGAGCTCCAAGTCCTCCAGTTAGGAAAAAGCCCAGGTGTCTGGACACTGTGAAATCAGGTGGGCATCCATTTGTCCCTAACACTGATAGGGCTCATTCTAACTATGGCAGCGACCTTCAGGCCAGTTTAACAATGGATGCTGTGAGAATCCCTGCCTCGAGTCTTCATAGCTTGGACAGCCTTAGTGCAGATGAGGATGTGGGTAAAGCGAGGGGGTGGTGATAGAGGAGGACTGTGTGCAGATGGGTCACGTGACATGCGGAGGGGCAGCTTTCTGTGCCTTCTCACCTGAGCCAACTCCCCGGAGCTCACACTTTGCCCAGAGGTGGCCCTGCTGCTGCTTTCTACAGACCCCACCATGACTCGGCCCCCACTCCTTCCGCATCTGGACTGGGGATGGATGACCCTTGGAGAAGGCGGTCTGGGTGCCATGGACTCGGCTTTCAGGGCTGTCTGGCTGCCCTTCACTGGTCTCTGCCTGCCTTTTTGGATTTCTGTCCTTGGTCTTCAGGCAACTCCTTCCTCTCTCATCTTTTTCAGTGATGATTGCAAACTGTTTTGCTCTCCCATTGCGTATGTGCCTACTACCCTTGGCAAGTGACTTCTGATGCTACCTCAAGAATTCCCACCTCCCCCAAAAAATTAAACAACACGGGAAAACCAGAGCTAAAACCAACTTCTCTCCCTCTGTTCCCTTCTCCCTCCTTCCTCAGGGTTCTCAGTGCTCCTCGTGGGGCAGCAGGAGCACTTGGGGAGAGGCATTTGATACTGACGTATGTGGCATCAGAATCTATGGGTGAGGCTTGGGCATTGGCATTTCAAACCTTCCCAGGGGGGATTGTAGCTAGCAGCAGGGTTGAGAGCTGCCGTCCTGGTCCCGTCTCAAACTTGAGTGAGTGCCAGCATTGCCAGGGAGTCCTTAAAACAGCAGTTGCTGGGCTCCTTCCCCACATTCTGATTCAGCAGGTCTGGGATGAGGCCTGAGAATGTGCATGTCCAACAGTTCCCAGGGCAGCTGCTGGGCAGACCCACTGTTCCAATCTGACATCTCCCAGAGAGGCTGCGTGGTTGACATGGGAGAGCGGGAAAGAAGTGTAGTGTGGGGGCTGTTCCTCCATCCTCTGTGGGGACCTATACTAGAGATGCTAGACGAAGTGTACCCTCTGTATGCTGGCACCCCACCTGTGCCCTTGAAGCCAACCTCTTCCACCCTGTGGACCTTGTTCCACAAATTACCCCATTTGCCTCCCATGTCTTTTCTCTTTCCTTTTCTCTTGGGGACATGTTCAAGCGTCTCCCATCCTAAAAAGCCCTGGTTTCCTTGTGTCCCCTCTCAGCCACCCTCTCCCTCAGTTGACATTCAGTTTGTTCTGTGTTGATTCTCCATAGTTCTTGGTCTAGTCATCACTCCTCAGTGACCTAATTCCCACTTGCCACCGACTTCTTCCCAGAATTTGACACTTCACCTCTGCACCCTGGAGCTCCTCTAAGATGTGAGTCAGTTGTATCCCATGCACACTCTGTAGATCAAGCCCAGAATCAACCGATCCAGTCAATACATCCCACTGAAGAGTCAGTCGGCCGGTCCAGTCACTTCATCCCACTTAACAGTAAACTGATCCACCCTCTGTCGGGATCTCTACTGTAGACACTGGAAGGGGTGCCCCCTCAGTGGAGGGTCCTGGCCTCAAATAATGCTCTCACCTTGGCCTCCCAAAACATAGTGATTGCAGTAGGGAACACTCTCAAAGCCACTGTGCCCTGCCTCCAGGACAGTTTTTAAGACGAGAAACCTGAATCCAGTCATTCGCTGACAGGTTTCCCACTCCTGTTCAGAGAATATAGTCTCCTCTATTCTGTGACCCAAATCCCCCTGCCTCTTCAGCCTTCCACAGCCCCCTGGAGGCCTCTGGGCAGCTGTCCAGGCCATTGTTCTGGGCTCTCAGAATGCACTACAGGCATTGAGGAAATCACCCCGAGAGGGGCCTGAGATTAAAAATGTGCTTGCTCTTAGCAGAACCTGTCCTGAATCATTGCTTATGGGAGTTGCTTTCTTAAGGGGAAACTGCTGTATATTTTTCCTTCTTTAAAAGGATTAAAGGTAGGGTCAGGCCGGAGTCAGGTTTGAATCACGACTTCCTGTAGAAAGAAGGTCTGATGGGGAACCTGTGTTCTAAGAGGTCTCCCATGAGTTGGCATCGTTAATTCGGTTTTCTCCTCTAAAATGCAAAGCTTACATTCAAATCCTCATGACTGTCAGCTGTCACTCTCACGGCACGTGTCCTGCATGCATGTTTTCATTGGTTTTCTCTCTGTCTGCTTTATTGATTAGAGGAAGCAATAGGACACGGCTGCCAGGTATCCATTAGGTGTTGTGTGAGAAAGAGCTCACAAGATTGCTGATCCCTTCAGCAGGATCTAAGTATTTAGGTAGCTTCTTACCATCATGAGACCAGATTTTAACACACAGTCTAAGGACATGGCAAATACTTGCTGTGAAACGTGTGCAGGGAATTCAAGTTCTTTTACATAAACTGATGGTTTTTTCATGACCATTTTAGAATGAATGTGTTGGCCAGGTACAGTGGCTCATGCCTGTAATCGCAGCACTTTGGGAGGCCAAGGCGGGTGGATCACCTGAGGTCAGGAGTTTGAGACCAGCCTGACCAATACGGTGAAACCCTGTTGCTACTAAAAATACAAAAATTAGCCGGGCATGGTGGTGGGCACCTGTAATCCCAGATACTCGGGAGGCTGAGGCAGAAGAATCACTTGAATCTGAGAGATAGAGATTTTAGTGAGCCAAGACTGTCATTGCACTCCAGCCTGGGCGACAGAATGAGACTCCATCTCATATTAAATAAAGAAAAAGAGGCCGGGCGCAGTGGCTCACGCCTTTAGTCCTAGCACTTTGGGATGCTGAGGTCGGTGGATCGCCTGAGGTCAGGAGTTCAAGACCAGCCTGGCCATCATAGTGAAACCCCATCTTTAAAAAAAAATATTGTACCATTTTTGTCTTCTGTGGCTACAGTTCTCTTGGCAAGGCTCAGCACTTAACCAGCCACCCAGTAAATATTTGTTGAATGAGTGAACTGGGGCAGCTATGAAGGCAGCATGCTTTGTGACTGCATTCGGACCCTGCTCAGGAAACAGCCAGCCCACCCTCCATCAAAGCCAGTGGCTCAGAAATCCACACTGCTCTGATTCCCCTTTACATTGCCTTCCACCAGCCCTACCCACACCCGCTTTGTTTTTCTTCGTAAGTGAAAACATTTTGGTGAAGACTAGCAGGAACTGAAGCACTAGCTCCTCTATTTGAAGTGAACGCCCAAACTGTGGCACATGGCCAGCTGTCTTTCGGGTGGCACAGGAACAGTTGGTGACAGCTGGATACAATCAAGTTCCATTACAAACAGATTTT